GAGCTGGGAGACCTGCCGGCCCTTCTCCATTGCACAGAGATGGCCCTGAGGCCCAGACTCGACCACCTGTGCAGATGCGGGCCATGAAAAGCTGGCTCTGGTGTCGTGAGCTCCTAGCCAATTGCTCTGACCGTACCAGGCTGGTGTGAGAAAGGGAGTCTCTTTAGACACCCAGTCACCTTTTTTCTCATTTTCCCTCTGTGGGCAGGATATTCTCGGCCTATATAAAGGAAGTGGAGGAGCGACCAGCACCCACCCCGTGGGGCTCCAAGATGCCCTTCGGGGAGCTGATGTTTGAGTCCGGCAGCAGCTGCGGCTGGGTGCACGGCGTCTGCTTCTCAGCCAGTGGCAGCCGCGTGGCCTGGGTCAGCCACGACAGCACCGTGTGCCTGGCTGACGCTGACAAGAAGATGGCGTGAGTGCCGGTCACCCAAGGGGGGGACAGCAGAGGCACGGAGCAGGACGGGGCTGGAGGCTGACCTCTCTCTCTCACTCAGGGTCACAACCCTGGCCTCTGAAACGCTGCCACTGCTGGCCGTGACCTTCATCACAGAAAACAGCCTGGTGGCTGCGGTAAGGAGGGAGGGACGCGGTAGCCAATTAGGATACGTCTCCCCGTAGCGAGCCCAGAGGTGCCCAGTTATATCCGCCCGTTCCCTCCTTCCCTTCCTCCCTCCCTCCCTGCTTCCTCCCTCCCTTCCTTTCATCCATCCATCCTTTCGTCCGTATGTCTGTATTGACTAGGGTGCTGTGAGGGGGCTCTGCTCAGTGCATTTGGAGGCTTTGTCACCAAAATGCTCCTCCAACGGCCATGGAGGGAGGAGGGAGGAGCGGAGATCCTGGATGGGTCTTTACGTCTCCGCCTATTTTATTGGCAAGTAGAAATGTCAGGGTCAGCCGAAACCGGTTTGGCTCAGTGGATAGGGCGTCAGCATGCAGACTGAAGGGTCCCAGGTTCTATTCCCGTCAAGGGCATGTACATGGGTTGTGGGCACATCCCCAGTGGAGGGTGTGCAGGAGGCAGCTAATCGATGTCTCTCTCTCTCTCTCTCTCTCTCTCTCTCTCTCTCTCTCTCTCTCTCTCTCATCGATGTTTCTGGCTCTCTATCCCTCTCCCTTCCTCTCTGTAAAAAAAAAATCAATAAAATATATATATATTTTTAAAAAGAAATGACAGGGTCACACCTCACTCAGTGGGGTGTGTGGGGTGCGGTTCTACCATGTGTCCAGAGGGCACTACTGTTCTCCCCTCCTTCTGCCCGCCTTGGTCAAGTCCCTTTTCACCCTCAGCAAACATAGTGAGGGTCCTCGAGGGGGGTCAAGCCCCCTTGGCCTGTTAGGACAGAAGGTCCCTGGGCTCTCAGAGGAGTCCCAGACAAGCTTTCTCATCTAGACACTGGTTTTACTGGGGTAGGGGCCACCCCTATTTGCTCGGGCTTGTCTGGCAGTGTCCGCAAGCTTGCATCAGCTTCCCGGGAGCTGCTCCATCCAAGTCCATCCAGCCTGTGCGGCCGCCAGACTCATGGACCACTTTTCCCCTTGCTGGCACGCCCTGCCTCCAGCCTGCTTCCCCAGGTGGAAAATGGGGGCGCTGCGCCTGCCCTGGGCCTGGGCTCAAATAGCACCGCCCCCACCGCAGGGCCACGACTGCTTCCCCGTGCTTTTCACCTACGACGGCGCCGCGGGGACGCTGAGCTTCGGGGGGCGGCTGGACGTGCCCAAACAGAACTCGCAGCGCGGCCTGACCGCCCGCGAGCGCTTCCAGAACCTGGACAAGAAGGCGAGCTCCGAGGGCGGCGCGGCCGGCGGGACGGGCCTGGACTCGCTGCACAAGAACAGCGTCAGGTGAGGGCGGCCCGGCGGGGAGGCGGCCCGGAGCGGGTGGTCCTGGGAGCATGGATCTGGACTCCAGCAGCTTGGAGGCGTGACCCCGGGTTTGGGGAGCCAGGTAGATCTCTCTGGTGGGGCGGGCAGGCAGCCTCTGGGCGTTTGCAGGACGCGGTTGTGAGGACCATCATCGGAGGGGTGGGGCCTGCTTCTCGGCTGGCCAGGCAGCAACCAGCTCTGGGCGGGGCCACGGCTGAAGCTGGTCCAGTGCTAGGAACTGGTGAACTGGTGGCAGAACCAAAGGTCCCGCAGCAGCCTCTGAGGAACGAGGGTGTGATGGGAAGGCCCCCCAAAACTTCCAAATCCGGCAGCCACGGGTGTGCGCCCTGTGGCAAATAAAGAACTTTGGCAACTTTCTGACCGAGCTGGCTGCTGGGTACAGTGATGTCTTTTTTTTTTTTTTTTAATTGATTTTTTACAGAGAGAAAGAGGGATAGAGAGTTAGAAACATCAATGAGAGAGAATCATCAATCAGCTGCCTCTTGCCCAGCCCCTACTGGGGATGTGCCCGCAACTAAGGCACATGCCCTTGACCGGAATCGAACCTGGGACCCTTCGGTCCACATGCCGACGCTCTATCCACCGAGCCAAACCGGTTTCAGCCCAGTGGTGTCTTCTGACTGAACACCTTTGCCCCACTTTCAGTGCTCTTCAGAACTAGTTCCTCGCCCTCCCAGCCCCATCTTTTCATTCTGCCACCCTGTTGTCCCTACACATCCCCCAGCCACGTCCTCCCTGCCCTGCCCAGGCCTTTATCGCGTGCCAGTCGCCTGGGCTGCGCTTTGTGCCCTGCACACTACTGCTGTTCCTACACCTGTGAGCCCCGTTCTGTGATCCTGCACAGCCTGCCCCCCAGGCTGTCCCTGCGAGCAAACCCCAGGATTCTCACTGAAGTCAGTGCCCCCAAGAGCTCCTGGAGGTCAGGTTGGACTTAATTCAGCACAGGCTGGGATCCATAAGACCCTTATCATCTTTGCAGCCAGATCTCGGTGCTCAGCGGGGGTAAGGCCAAGTGCTCCCAGTTCTGCACTACTGGCATGGATGGTGGCATGAGCATCTGGGATGTGAAGGTGAGTCTTACCCAATCCCGGCTTCCCACCGCACTCCCAGGGGCCCTTCATCCCATTTTGCCTGGGCAGCCTCCCTGGATGCCCTGTCTTCCAAGTGGGAGAAAGGCACTTGGAGTGCTATAAGCGGGGAGGGGGGCGTGAGCGGCAGCCCCTTGACACTTGGGCCTCCGCATGCCGAGGCACCTCCCTTTCAGGACTGGGACTGAAACCAGGTCTGTTGGGCCCCAAAGACCCGAGTTTTCTGTCCTCTGCCTGGGGCTGGGGTGGGTAGAATGTCTACAGGACAGCTAAGAACTGGCCTGTTCTGCTCATCTCCTTCCAGAGCTTGGAATCAGCCTTGAAGGACCTCAAGATCAAGTGACCTGTGAGGAGAACGTTGGCCTCATCCCAGCTGCTGCGGGAGGGGGCAGGGAAGCTAAGGCTCGCTTTGCTGAGTATTCCTACAGTACCCATAGGGGAAAGGGAGGGGAGGGGCTTGGAAGCTTTTCTACCTATTTGAAGGAACATGTGCCTTTTTCTTAAACAAACTTTCATTTATTGTAAAAAATGTCCCCAAAGCACTCTGCTGGTCATGAACTGCTTTAAAACGTGGAGGTAATAAAAATACAATTGTAGAAATGCTCGCCTGTGTTTGGAAGAGGTTCGTTTTTGCAGACATAGGTACCTTAAACCCAAGAGCCTTCCCCCACACGGTTCCTTCCCCACTGAGTCCAGCCTAGGGGGAAGGTATCTTCCCAAAATTCAGCAGTCAGATTCCTAGACAAGGGATTGCTTATTCCAGGCTGATTCTGGGGTTTAATGTAAATTTAATTACTGTTTGATGTTTTGCAGTTGGTTTCTGGTAAATGCTCATTATTTTTTAAGATTCTCTCCTCGCCCCATTTTTATTTTATTCAGAGGGTTATGTTTGTTTTTTTAATGAAACTATACTTTATAGTTATGGGGTTTTAAAAATCTAGGTCAGTAGTAGGCAAACGGCGGCTTGCAAGCCACATTCGGCTCTTTGGCTCCTTGAGGGTTTTTTTTTTGTTTCTTTTTTTTAAAATATATTTTATTGATTTTTTACAGAGGAAGGGAGAGAGCTAGAAACATCAGATGAGAGAGAGACCAATGTACATGCCCTTGACTGGAATCGAACCTGGGATCTTTCAGTCTGCAGACCGACGCTCTATCCACTGAGCCACACCGGTTTCGGCGGCCGCTTGAGTTTTTAGCCAAGGTCAGAGTACCCTAATTAATAACAATGCACTTACCTATATAGTCTAAGTTTTGGCTCTCAAAAGAAATTTCAATTGTATTGTTGATATCTGAGTTTGCTGACCACGGGTCTAGGTAATGAGGGAGTCTGTAGGCCAGGATGAGCTGCATATGCTGGCAGTGGTAGTTTCCCTCCTCAGGGGCCTAAGGCGGTGACCTCCAGCATGGCCAAGCCCTGGGCTGTGGTAGAGGTCACTGGGAGTTGGGCTCAACCACTAAACCCATCTGGCTTCAGGTCCAACTCCCTGCTTGGCACCCAGTCACTGACTTCCGAGGACCATGTGCAAAGAAAGGATGATGCTATTCATGAGGCAAACAGAGTGCCTCACAAGGGGGCCCAGGGGGACAGGACAGGGACTATGGCGGAGCCTGCAGGCAGCCGTGATTGTGCTAAGCCCCAGCGTCCCTGCTGCCATCCCACCATAAAGGATGGTAAGGATTGATGAGAGAACGCTTGGCAGTCCTGCTGGATTCAGCTATTAGGATGCTTCCTCTCCGCACTGAAATCCTGAGGCTGTTACCACCAGGGGGCACCTGCTGCGGCCAGCCTGCTGTGGACATGGACAGGGCCCTGGCCACTCTGGCCTAAGACTTCTACTTGGTTAAAGGGAGAAGGCCAACTCCTGTATCGTAAGGTCTCCAGTTTGGATGCCCAGGGTCCAGTCCCCAAACCCTGCTCAGTGCCCACTGAACCTGTGGGGCAGGCCTGCCTTGAGAGTGACAACATGCCTGCTGGGTGAAAATGGCCCAGGCATAAGGGCCCAAAGATGGATCATGGAACGACGGTTACGATAATGTCAAGTTTAATCTGCCAAATATACAAGTTGGATTTGTAGAGCATGTTTTGCCTGGGTGCTGCACAGTAAACAGCGGTTTCTTGAAATGATCCATGGGTAGGGTTAAGAAGGGGCCCTGGTCAGAGGTGGGAATGGGGCAGAGAAGGGCACAGGGGAGGCCATGAGAAGAGCCATGACCCTCAGAGACCCAGGCTCCCAGATGACAGCCCCCGAGTGAGCACCCAGGCAACACAGATGGGCTGGTTGTTGCAAACTCGTCAGCAGCAGCTCCCAGCACAACCACCCCCTACTGTGCGATCTACTGGACAAATGGACGCTCTTCTTACCCCACCTCCCAGGCACCCCCAACAAAAGTTCTGAATTCTAAAAACAGCAAAAACATTCGAATGGTTACATATGAAATGCTGTCCTGCATCTTTCTGTCTCAAAGATAGCAGCTGCCCCCTCCCCCCAGCCCCCCACCCACCTTCCCCCAAACAATTTCCGTGCCAAGATGAAGAGGAGACCCCAGGCTGGGGGGAACTCCTTGTCTTGAGGGGCTGCTGCCTTGGTGACAGGGCACAGGGTGGGCGAGACACAGCAGCAGTCCTGGCCGCATGACCCAGTTCCCTGGTATCTCCTCCTCAGGCCTTGTTACTTATTCAGGGAGAGCGACTGCATTCGTTTTCCTGACAAAGTTGCGTCATCTTTTGCTAAGAGTAGAAAGAGAAGAAAAGGGTCGTTAAAACATATCCAACCCACTCCCAGAATCAGAACTGTAAGTCTGATAGGCCTCAGAAAACATTTGTGCAACTGGCTCACCAGGCTGAGACCGAGAGGCCTGCCTGATACCCTCCAGTGGGAAAAGGATTTCTGCTGAAGCCACTGAACCCGGGTGTGCAGGCATTCTCACTGAGTTTGGGGCCCACTCCATAAAGACCCACCAACGCCCAATCCAGGACTAAAAGAGAAAGTCTTTTTACACTGCCCCTGGCAGAACCCAGTAATTCCAATCTCTCCCAGTAGATGCTGAATTCTCTAAAATCAGCAACAATGTTCAGAGTTACACAGGAAGTCCTTTCCTGCTTGGGATTTGTGAAGCAAGAGCCGCGAGCGGGAGCCAGGATAACCAGGTTATCTCCAGTGTGGTAGCATGCCCCTGGATAACTGGTTTCCCATTTCTAGGCCTGTTTCCTTGCTATGTGGTGAGGAGGCAGGAGAGCAGGATCCCTAAGGGCCCTCATGGTCCCACATGTAGAATGCATGAGATAAAGACATATGAACACGAGTCAAAAGTTCCTATAAACCAACTCCCACAGCCAACCTGGCCTACAGGAACCCTCTACCACCTTTGCCCACTGGAGGGAGGACATAGAGAAAGGACACTTGGGTCAGATTTCATCTAAGTCTGCCATGAAATCCAGCCCACCCTGCCCCACCTCCCAAGCCCCTCACACAGACAGTGGTTATCCCAGACAGCTCCCCCAGCCACACAAGGCACCAGACCTCGGTGGGACCTTCCAACTCGAAGATCTGCACTGATCTATCCCTGAGGCCTCTCTCAGATGCTACAACAGTGCTCTGCTGAAGTTCAAACCCATATTGAACCCTATGCTGCTGTGGGTCCCTCCGAGCACCCTTTGGGGAGGGGTTAGGAACTCCCACTTCCACCTAACAGTGAGGAGGGTGCATACACACAGGGTGGGCCTCTACCAAACAATCTGACGCCCATTTCACAACAGGGACAATGAAGTGCAGGTTTATGCCCAGAACCAGCCAGGCAGTGCTACAGTGACTCAGGACTTACCTTTCCTTTCTTCTTCTTTCTTCTTGGCAGCTTCTTCCCGCTGTTTTCGGATAATTGCCAGCCGGGCAAGGTCAGCTTTGGCTTGCTCTGTTTTCCCAGCTAAATGCATTTTCATGTAACGCTCTTTTGCTTTCTGCTTCTCAATTTCTTCTCTGTTTGGATAAAATAGTGTCACAGGAGACATCTTCCCCACCATTATCAGCTGAGGTGGATGTGGTCAAGTATTCAGGCCTAGGCCCAAGTGGTGGAGGGCCCCCTGGCTAAGGGAGGGGCCCTGGCTCCATGTGCCCCTCCCTGAGGGACACTCACCAAACAAAACACGCAGAGGGACCAGTCTGGACCTCTGCATGGCAGACTCAAGGGGCTGGGGGAAGCAAAGTTATGTACTCAGCCTCCTCAGATGGAAAATACAGGGTAAGTGGGTAGGCTCAGGGTCTGTGACCTGGGAAAGCCTTAACACACATGTGTCAAACACAAGGCCCGCGGGCCAAATCCGTCCCACCAGGCCTTGCAATGTGGCCCGCACCGCGCTGTCATCACTGCACTCCGCTGCGTTTCCATCACAATGACAGTTTATGACTGTTCAGTAAACCATTCGGCCCGCGATTTAGGCTGGATTTTAGATTTTGGCCCCTTCTCTGATTGAGTTCGACACCCCTACCTTAACACAATATTGTCCATGTCTGGCTGGGTTGGTGAGGAGTGGGCAGGGTATGGCTAACTAGGATCTGGTGTCCACAGTGAGAAAGAGAACCAAAACCAAGTGAACTGTGTCCAGAGAAGATGACCAGAGGAGGAAGGCAATAGAAACCACATTCTATAAGGGGTAGAGAAAAGAGTGAACCAAATGGCCATGGATAGGAGCTAGGCACACCCAATCCAAGTAGACATGACACTACACATTCTCAATCAGTGCAGCTCAGATGTGCATGAGGCTGCCTCCAAAAGGGTGTGAATAAGAGCTTGACTCCCATGGGACAAAGGTGACAGCCACCAACACCATAAGAAGAGAGAGGGGAGGGTCATTAATTTCCCTTGAGGATCTTTTTCCGAAGCCTGAGATTCTGAACTGGAATGGGCACCTGTGAGGGTGTGCGATTAGAATGTTTCATTTACACCAGGTTCTTGGAAGAGCCAATTTTGGAGGTGGCAGAGAAGTTCGCCTGGCAGGAGGTTGGGGGGAGGGAGAAACGGCCTCACAGCACACAGGGCTGGGGAGTAATGAAAAAACAAAGCATGGGGCATGGCCAGAGGGGAGGGAAAACCTCCCAGCAATCAAAGTTGGGTGTGCAGATATCTCACCCAGAAGACTCTGGACAAAACACTCACTAAAAAGAAGAGACAGGAATACCTGTCAGCTACACTAGTAGGGAGGAGGGGGTCAGGAGGCATCTAGATGAGAAGCAAGGTTGCCTGAAGGCTCTCAGGGCCCCTCAGTGAAGGCTCAGTGCCAGGCACGGTGCAGGTCTTTATGGCTTTCACTCTGCAACCCAAAAGGCAGGAGCAGCAACAGGACCCCCTTTCACTGGTGAGAAGGAATCTACTGGAGGAGAGTCCACCAAAGCCTCTGATCACACCCAAGCTTGTGGACCTTCCTCAGGGGTTTTCATAGACCCCTTCCTTCCTCGTGGAACTTTCAGACCCTCGCGGAGCCAGCACAGGGAGGGGGATTTAAAGCCCAGCAGCCTCCTCAGAAGAAAAAACAGAGCAGCTTTCCCTAACGACCTCCAACCTCTGTAAGGCTCTTGATGTCACCTGGCAGCCATCAGTCAGGTTACTGCTTATGGAAAACTGGCCGTGTACAGGGCACCTTGGTACTTGACTATGATCCTCACACAATCTACAAGGAAACTATCTGCTGCTCCATTTTCACCTAAGACTTGTAGAGGGCTGGGCAGCCGGTGGATCTCCCTGCACTGTGCTGTCTTCTGGACTCCACAGGCCCCAGATCCCCTCCTCATCTCATAGCCATGACATTACAGATGGGTACAGGCCAGGAATGATGAGATCAGGCTGGATAGGGAAGTGTCCCTGAAATGGGGTGCAACGGAAGCAGGAACTATAGCAGAACCCTCTGTAACCCGGGGGATTAATTCAAGTGCAAAACTCAGGTCTGAAACGGCTCTCCTGTTTCTATTGATGAATTTTAAAATTCTGCTTTTTTTGTTTTGTGGAGAAGCTTCTAAAGCAGTGGAAGCCACTGGAGATCTCGGAGCCCAGGAAGTGGGGGCCTCAGTGGAGGTGGGTGCCTCAGCCCCCACAGGTCAGCCCCTGGCCTATGTGCTCAGGTCACCAGGCCCAGCAGCAGAGGTTACCGTTCTCTCCTTGAAAGCTCCTTGGGTCCATCCAAGTCGAGTTGTGTGACTTTTTTGGTTGTCTGTGCCACTCGGTTGGGGTTCTCGATGTCGATAAGGCCTTCCACACCTTTGCGCTTTTGCTAAGATAGGACAAGAAGCTGGAGTTGGAGAAGTTTAGGTCCTGCAGAGCCCCTTAAGGCCACTTCCAACATCTCCCAACAGCCCATCTGGATGGCGATAAACTCCTGTTCCACCCCAGCCCAGCCCCGATGCTTGGCCCCAAACCTCCCAGGATTGTCTTTACCAGTACCAGCATGGGAGATACACAGAACTGGTGTATATGACTTAGAGCCCAACCTATGCTAAGTCCCAGCAGCCAGGGATTATTATCCCACTTTCAAAGGTGACAAAACGGAGGCACAGGATTAAACAACTTGCCTAAAGCCAACCAATAAGTAGACAATAGATGAGATGTGAACCCAAGTCAAAATTGCCCAGCACAGAGCACTCACTGAACTTCAAGTTCAGACTCCAAAAGCTGTTTTCCATGGATTCTCACCCCTGACCACAACATGCAATGCTGGATCCCCAGAGTACAGTGGGCCAATGATGGTCTCAGGACCAATTCTAATTCCTAGCCATCTAAGCTGACAGGAGGGAAATAAGACTTTAGCCATCAGATCACAGCCTATGAGTTTTGAATGCTGGCCCAAGAACCTGGAGCCTGAACCTCCCACATCCCAGAGAAATTCAGAAAGAAATGAGAACACAAGTTCTCAATGTAATAGATTTGGTCAACAAATCAGACCCTGCCAATCCCATCTTTCTCTTTAATAAAGGGACTGGAAAGACAGCTTCTAAACACCAATCTGACCACTATACAGAGCTGCAGATACTATATCCAATCTGGCTACATCTATGCACCTCAATTTGGATAACTGATATCACAAACTTAATGTGTCTAAAACAGAACTTAAGATTCACCCCCAACCCACCCTGCTCCTCTCCAGAACCCCAAGCATGGCCTTATTCCTTCTTACCTCAGCCCCCTCACCCAACCCTCAACAAACCTCACTAAGTCTATCTCTAAAATATGCCCACTTTTCTGCACTGCCATTGCCACCACCCTAATGTAAACCACAAATTCTTGGCTGGATACCTACCAGCATTTCACTGCTTCCCAAACTCAACAACCCACAATTCACTCTTTGCAGAGCAGCCAAAACAATCTTTTAAATCTGGTCTCCTCTCTCCAGCTTCGAGACCTCCACCAGCTGCCCACTGTCCAATACTATATTGGATATAGTATCTGCAGCTCTGTATAGTGGTCAGATTGACTGGTGGTTATTGTCCTACAGTGAAACCCAAACCCCTTCAACAGCCACACCAGAGCTGCCCTTGTCAACCGTTCCTCCTTTACCCCTAACCACGCTCCTCCTTATCCACCAAGTCACAGCCCACCAACCTCCTCCAATGTTTGAAACATGATCAGGTGGTTCCACCCCAGTTACTAATCTGGCTGCCTCAACTGCTCTGCATGGCCGGTTCCATCTTGTTTGAAATCTCAGTTTAAAAGTAACCTCCTTGCCGAAACCGGTTTGGCTCAATGGATAGAGCATCGGCTTGGGGACTGAAGGTCCCGGGTTCGATTCTGGTTAAGGGCATGTACCTTGGTTGTGGGCATATCCCCAGTAGGGGGTGTGCAAGAGGCAGCTGATCTATGACTCTCTCTCATCGATGTTTCTAGCTCTCTATCTCTCTCCCTTCCTCTCCGTACAAAATCAATAAAATATATATATTTAAAAAAAAAAGTAACCTCCTTAACACACACTACTCCCAAGTATCCTTGATCACAGTCCATTTTATCTATACTACTTGAAATTACATCGTTCATTTACTTCTCTATTGTCCATACAATCATGTGCCCCTTAACAGTGATACATACAAAAAAATACATCAGTAAGCGATTTTGCCATTGTTTGAACATTAGAGTACACTTACACAAACCTAGATGGTATAGCCCAGTGGTCAGCAAAATGCAGCTCACAAGCCAAATGAGGCTCTTTGGCCCCTTGAGTGTGGCTCTTCCACAAAATACCACAGCCTGGCCGAGTCTATTTTGAAGAAGTGGCATTAGAAAAGTTTAAGTTTTAAAAATTTGGCTCTCAAAAGAAATTTCAATCGTTGTACTATTGATATTTGGCTCTGTTGACTAATGAGTTTGCCAAGCACTGGTACAGCCTAAGTAAGTGTCCATGCTATGCATTTACATGCCTGGTAGGTTTGTTTACACAGCATCACCATACATTTCGTGAGTAATGCGTTATACCACAATGTTACAATGGCTATGATGTCACTAGATGACAGGAAATTTTCAGCTCCATTATAATCTTATGGGACCACCATCACATATGTGGTCCACCTTTGACAAAAACATCGTTATGTAAACTCTTAGGAGCAAGGACTCTGTCTGCAATTGCCACCGGGACTGGTGATCAACGGGTACTTAATAAATGTTTGTTGAATGAATGAGTTCAGGTCTCAGGACCCCACCAAGCTCAGTACCTGGTAATCATCATCTTCATCCTCACTCTCATCTGAGTCTAGTGATTTCTTCTCCTTTTTGGGGTCACCTGCAGCCCCATCTCCATCTTCTTCTCCTTGTTCCTCTTCTTCCTATTCCAGAAATGGACAACCTACAGAATTAAAAATGCAAAACAAAACCACAAGACTATCACCCCCGTCTCCCGCCCCAACTACATCTAGACTGTGAACTTTGAGAAGGCCGAGATCAAGGATGACAAGGTTCCTATTCCAAGATCCTGGTCCCCCTGCCCCTCCTGGGGGGGAGGGGGGAGCTGGGTCAGAAGCAGCCTATCCACTAGACTCTGCTGTTCACCTTCTCTTCTGCTTCCCCAGCTGCCATGTGCAGCTGTCAAATCATACTCACTTTTACTGGGCAAGTCCTCCCCTGCTTTCCACTCCCACAATCGGTGCAGTGATGCCCTGCTACACCAGCTTCCCAAGGCAATGCCCGGCACACCACTTCCCTCCACTTCTCTTGCCTCCCCACCAAAGGCAAGAGAAGTGGAGGAAACCTGTACGTATTCTCCACGGTCCTGCTCAGCTGCCAACTCCCTCACAAGGCAGGCCCTCCTTCCTTGTACCCCAGCCCCTCTACCCTAACCTGACTGTGCTTCCATCAGCCCTTATGCAGGTGAGAATACTATGGTGTGGCAGGGGACACGAACAACGACGACAGAAACACAGTATTCTGTTTCCTGTAAGTTGTCTGGAAAAAAGCCAAGTAGAGCTAACTACTAAGCCTGCACTGGAGAGGGAAGAGTGGGTAGCACCAGTGAGAGTCACAGAAGAGGTGACATTGAGCAAGGTCTGGGGAACAAATGTTACTTTGCCTGGTAGGCGTATGGGAAGGCAGGGCATCATATTGTGCTGGGTTTGGCAAGCAGTCCTGTATGGCTGGAACAGACAAGGGGTGGTGCTGGGAGCTCAACCTAGAGCCTGGCAAAGGGAGATTCCCTGGAAGGTGGGAACACAGGAATAAGAACAGAGACTCACTAAGGCAACCGTTGCTGACTGAACAAAGTTCTAATTGATCCAATCAGAGGATGGCCAGCATTGGTTGTTCTGAGACTCATGCCTGCTCCTTGCTGCTCCCCAGATTCCAGGCGTAGGCTTCTTCCTGAGAATAGGTGGTCCTTGCCAGGACTCTCTGGGTGCCAGAGGCAGGCACCACCCTGGGACACAATGTACTCACCCTGGCCTTCTGCTTTTCTGCTTGGAGCTGTGCGTCAATCTCCTCAGGGCTCGTGTATTGCCGTGCCCGGCCTTTGTGGCCTCCCTTTCTCCCTGCAAGAGGATTGGCAATTTAGGAAGACGGGAGGGAAGCAGCTTCCTTGATTGCCGGAGAGCTGTGTCCTGCTTGAGGCACTCTCATCAGAGATTGCAGACCTCACCTGTCCCTCACTAAACACAACCCAAACCTTTACTTCCCCATCCTCATATACTCAAAGAAAAAAAATGGGCAACATATGGCCACCTGATGCAGCACTAAACTATGTGCTGGATGCAGGCTCCCACAAACAAGACCTGAGGGGAGGATATGGGGGAGAGCATATTGCATGTAGTAACTGGCTAAGTCACCTGGTCCCTTAGAATCCAAACACAGATGCAATTATGAGAACACTAAAGGCCCAGTGCACGAAATTTGTGTGCGGGGGGAGGGGGGGGGTGTTCCTCAGCACAGCCTGCACCCTCTCCAATCTGGGACCCCTCAAGGGATGTGTGACTGCACGGGGAGTCGGACATCTCTCTCACAATCCAGGACTGCTGGCTCCCAACTGCTCACCTGCCAGCCTTCCTGATTGCCCCTAACCACTTCTGCCTGCCAACCTGATCACCCCCTAACCACTCCCCTGCCAGCCTGATTGATACCTAACTGCTCCCCTGCCAGCCTGTTTGCCTCTAACTGCCCTCCCTTCCCGCCTGGTCACCCCTAACTGCCCTCCCTTGTAGGCCTGGGTCCCCCCCTCCAACTGCATGCACCTGCAGATGGGTGGGGGCTTGATGCTATGTACACCATGAGGCCCGGGTTCCTGCAGCTCCGCCTGGCACGGGGACAGGTCCCACAGCTCCAGCCCACCTCTTTGGAGCAATCCATCAAGGAGCCCTGGATGGGTGGGTGGGGTCTACCTCTTTGGGGTAACTGATCACAGGGCTCCCCCACTGTGAAAGGACATAGGCCAGGCTGGGGGAGAGGGGCTATTACCCCCCAATGCATGAATTTCATGCACCAGACCTCTGGTAAAAATATTAAGGGCATGCTATGAAATTAGTAACAGGATTTAATAATATAGTAATTCACAGTATACCGTATCATCCTAACTTTAGCATTATAGTTGCTAATACTATAGAACACGAAACAGAAGCTTCAACATGTGCTTTTGGAGATCGAGACCATATAAAGGTATCTTTACTATAAAAGCTATCATGTACGCTAGTCACAATATTGTATTACCTCAAGAACATACTAATGGTTTAATTCAATATTGGGTCAATATAAAATTTAGTGAGCCTACAGTATTTTGAATGTAAGTTAATGTGATTAGTAAAGGTAGTGACTCTAATGGAGTATTAAATAAGAAATAGATTCATGCATTAAGTCACTCAGTCTGCCACCCTTAGTGTGTAATAAGAATGGGGACTAGAGTGGCTTCAAATAAGATATAAAATTCTATAGCTGAAAATGTTATGATCAAGAACATTTGGAGAATATAATAATCCTAATATATACAGAGCCAGGTGCTGTCACAACCAGACAGACAACCAGTCACCATGAAGTGCATGGAGCACCTCTCGTGCCCCACCCCCACAAGCTGCTCAGCATGAAGGGGGTGATGGTGGTGGGTGGGATCAGGGACTGTTGAGCAGCAGCAGCAAGCTTAGCGGAGCAGTCACGGGCAGCAAGTTTTGCAGAGCAGCGCAGGGTGGGGGGAATTTCAGGGAGCATGGCGGGTCGGAGGAGCCTCTCGGAGCAGTGGTGGGCGGGGGGAGCACCGCAGAGCCTCTCGGGGAAGGGAGCTTCATGTAGCGAGCAGGGTGGCGGAGGCCAGCGACGGAGGCCAGGCTAGGACTGCAGACCCTAACCACACATGACTTCGTGCGCGCTGGGCCTCTAGTATATTAATAATTTTCCCTGTTTAAGGTTCTTTGGCCAGGTGAAATGGACTAGCAACAATCTTAAGTGGTAATAGTCAGAGGGATAGTTTAAGTAGTGGGGTAGAGAATCAGAGAAGAATACTATTGATAGGTTTAGGCTATTATAATTAGCCTGGTTTATTAGGGGTAGACATGTTAGGCTAATTATTAGCCTACTAGAGGCCTGGTGCATGAATTCGTACACCGGCGGGGTCCCTCACCCAGGCCGGATGGCTGTGGGAGTGCACTGACCACCAGAGGGAAGCTCCTATGTTTTTGTTTTTGTTTTAAATATATTTTTATTGATTTTAAATAGAGAGAAATTGAGAGGGATAGAGAGCTAGAAATGTCGATGAGAGAGAAATATCGACCAGCTGCCTCCTGCACACCCCCTACTGGAGATGTGCCAGCAACCAAGGCACATGCCCTTGACCGGAATCGAACCCGGGACCTCTCAGTCCGCAGGCCGAAGCTCTATCCACTGAGCCAAACTGGTTTCTGCGGGAAGCTCCTATGTTGACCAGTGCGCATCATAGCGACCAATCAGCCGGTCATAATAGTGCTTAGGCTTTAATACACACACACACACACACACACACACACACACACACACACACAGTAGAATTAATTCAGATTACTTTTTGAAAATCATGTATACACTTACAAGTTCAGGAAGCACAGAGTCCCAAACAAGAGGAGCCCAAAAAGGGCCACACCAAGACACATCATAGTTAAAATGCCAAGCCCTAGTCTGGGTTAGTTGGTTTCAGAGAGGAGGAGGCAGCCTGCAGCCGAGAGCATGGAAGAGGAGACGAAGCCGTGTCCAGAGCCTGGCAGGGTTGGCCTGGGCTCTGGGGTGCCCCAGCTGCGGGGAGGACTGTGCGGACCCACACTGTCCTGCCACCACCACCACTGCCTCACAACAGGTTCGCTGCCTCCAGAGCAGCCTTGCTCCATGCTCCCCTTCCCTGCCCCCACAAAAGGAAGGGAAAAAATGCAAAGCCCTAGCCAGTTTGGCTCAGTGAAGAGCATCAGCCTGTAGACCGAAGGGTCCCAAGTTCGATTCAGGTCAAGAACACATATCTTGGTTGCAGGCTCATTCCTGGCCTGGGCCCTAGTCAGGGCTTGTGCAGGAGGTAACCAATCAACGTGTTTCTCTCAAATTAAGATTTCTGTCTTTCCCTCTCTCTTCCGCTTTCTCTAAAAATCAATGGAAAAATATCCTTGGGTGAGGATTAACAAAAAAATAAAAAGTAAAATACTCATTCCTTCAAAAAATAATAATTAAAATGCCAAGAGGTAAAGATAAATAATCTTAAAAGCAGAAAGAGAAAAGCAGTTAGTTACCTACAAGGGAGTAGCCATATGACTGTCAGCTGACTTCTCAACAGAAACTTCGCAGGCCAAAAAGGAGTGGCAAGAAATATTCAAGTGATAAATAGCAAGGAACTATAACCAAGATTACTCTACCCAACAAAGCTATCATTTAGAATTGAAGGTCAGATAAACAGCTTCACAGACAAGAAAAAGCAAAAGGAGTTCATCACCAAACCAGTACTACATGAAATATTGAAGGATATTCATTTTTTGTTTTCTAATATATATTTACTAGAGACCCAGTGCACGAAAATCATGCGGGGGGGTTGGGGGGGGAGGCAGTGTCCCTCAGCTCAGCCTGCACCTTCTCACAGTCCAGGACCCCTCACTTCTTACTGGCTGCCTACACCAGAGGCAGGAGAGGGTCCTGCCATCGCCACTGTGCTCACCAGTCATGAGTCTTGCTTCTGGCTGAATTGCTCTCTCCCCGAGGGAGCACACTGACCACCAGGGGGTAGATGCTCAAAGCAGTAGCTGCCTTCTGGTGCTCACTGTGCATTATAGTGACTGGTTGTTCTGCCATTCAATTGATTTGCATATTAGGGTTTTATTATATAGGATTGATTTCAGAGAGAAGAAGAAAGAGGGAGAAAAAGATAGAAAGATCAATGATGAGAATCACTGATTGGCTGCCTCCTCCATGCCCCACACAAAGGATCAAGCCCACAACCTGGGCATGTGCCCTGATGGGGAATCAAACTGTGACGTCCTGATTCATAGGCTGATGCTCAACCATTGAGCCACACCAGCCAGGCTGAAGGGTATTCTTTAAAGAGGAAGAAGACACCATAGCTTGTTTGGCTCAGTGGATAGAGCATCAGCCTGCAAACTAAAGGGTCCCGGGTTCGATTCTGATCAAGGGCACATGCCTGGGTTGTAAGCTGGATCCTCACTAGGGGGTGTGCAGGAGGCATCCAATCAATGATTCTCCCATCACTGATGTTTTTCTCTCTCTTCCTCTCTGAAATCAATAAAAATACATAAAAAGGAGAGGAAGAAGAAAAAACTATTAAAAAATATGAACAATAAAATGGCAATACACATATATCAGCAATTGCATATAAAAATAAAATAAGAAATCTAATGAACAAAATAAACTGATGAATAAAATAGAATCAGAGACATAGAAACATGGAAGAGATTGACAAATCTCAGAGGGAAGGAGGAGTGGGAAAAGATTACCGTATTTTTCGGACCATAAGACGCTCCAGACCATAAGACCCACCAGTTTTTAGAGAAGGGAAATGAAGAAAAAAAGATTCTGAAACAAATAGTGTCCTAAAATATTTTATGTGCATTAAAACCTAACATCACAGTCATAAACACATGTAATCAACCCTGTAAAGTAAACAGCAGCATTTAGAACCATTTTAGAGCCGGGCAAGCACACAGAGACCACACAGAGCCGGGCAAGTAAAAAAACTTTTTTTTTAAAGTATATGTGTAGGCTATATTTGGACCATAAGACGCAGGGACTTTCCCCCCCACACACTTCTGGGGGGAAAAAAGTGCATCTTATGGTCCGAAAAATACAGTAATCAAAAATCTTACACGCATATATGTATTACCTACGGGGCACAGAAAATAGGGTGGTGAAGGCCTGGGATGGAACAGAAACTGGGTGGAGGGGAGCCAAGGGGGGAAAGAGGAACATCTATAATACTCTCAACAATACAAATTTGAAATTTAAAATATATACATGATTAGCAATTAAAGTTCATCTAAGAGTATCAGTTTTATAGACTGACCCCTGCTAAGGCCATCAGCCAGTTTTATAGCCCTTCTACTGGTCCCAGAGGATACTGGATTAGCTGTGGCTTTGACCCATTCCCAACTTTTCTGAAAGCTGTAGTCCGCCTAATTCCCAGTGAGTCTCTCCGTGACAGCAGAGAATCTGTATTAGACAGTTGGAGCTGCTCTGGACTCCAGAGACAGCAACAGAGACACTGGCCTCCCTAATTTCCTAGACAGCAGCTGCATAGCCATAATTGGGCTGCTACAAAGTAAACCACCCATTTTTAATGACTACCTGGGTTCCCAGGAGCGTCTCAGTCTATGCTCATGAAAGTCCTATTGTGAAAGATCAAGCTTGCCATTATAAGAAACCAACACCCTTTCTTGTCCTCTGAAAATTCCAGGCAATAGTAACAACTCAAAATTGGCTTCTAGAGGCTTCCATCCTGCACACTTGGCTATGGATGCTGACCTTAGTTAGCTCTACAGTAACTTTTATCAGCTCTTCATGCCTTTAAAAATGCTTCCGTTTTTAAACAGAAACAATATTGGTTCTTTGTTCATGAGGAATTTGATACTTTGACATTTTCATGTTTTTGCTTTTGAAGCAAATTAATGTAAAGCAATGAATGTAAATCTTGTTTATACGTAAAGTTTTTTCACAAGTCAAAAGGCCATGTCATTTATGTCATTTAACCAAGAATTCACGTTTAGGACTTTCTAATTGTACCCTCCAACCTTGCCTCAAAGTATTTATTAAGTAGAACTCCTAGAGCCAGCATTCTGGAGTCAGAAGGGCTCACTTGGCATCCTCCTTGTGCATAACAAGAAACTAAGGAATACAGAAGGGAAGAAAAAGAAAGAAAAAGAAAAAGAAATACAGAGGAGAGGTGGCTCTTCCTACCACAGACTAAACCAGCAGATACCTAGGCTTAAATGGGTTAAACTTTGTAAAGTCCAATTATCTCTGGAAGTAGAGTCAGGAAGTCATTTAGGTTTGAAAAAGTAGATTTTCCTGTGGGCTGATACATCTCTATCAACATGACACATGAGCTGCCAGCATTAACTGACTATCTGTTCTGTGCCAGCAGCTGCTAGACACTTCAAGTGCTCTATCATTTTACTACCCCTAATCCCAACTCTCCAACTTAGGGGTTATCAGCCAGGTGTTCCAGATGAGAACAGTCTGGGAAATGGCAGATATCCTGTCCAAAGCCACTGGATGGGCTTCTAATCAAGAACTACTGGCTCTTAGGGAAAAAAGGATGGAGGAGGATGAACAATGTGCTGGGAAGCCACGGATTCTTTACCTTCTTGGCCAAGGAACCGACAAAGTTTACAAATAACAAGAGTTAAAGCTTATTAGGCACATATGCCCACACCGTGGGATTACCTAGTTTAAGCCTCGCATCAATACTATGAGGTAGGTACAATTACCACCCTTATTTGCAAGTGAGGAAACCAAGACACAGGGAGGTTAAGGGGCTGACTCAAAGATACACATCTAGCCGCTGCTGAATAGGGCGATCAAAGCTGAGCCTGCCCGGCTCCAGAGCATCACCTTATGTCTCATTAGGCAGGCCTCTTTCGCCCGGAGCCCAAGAGGGCCCACGTTTTACACACGAGGCAGGCGGGCCCCGCACAGGCGCTGGACACGGTGACTCAGTCTCCGGCGAGCCTAGAATAGAGAAAGCTCCAGACCCCCCCACCTCCCCGCCCCGCCGGGGAGAAGCGTGCTCTAGGTCTGGCCTTCTGCGTCGGCGAGGACCCGGAGCCTCCGACTCTCCGCAGACCCAAGAGAGAGAGAGGGAGTGTGTGAAGCCACTATGGTCCTCAGTCTCCCATCGGGACAATTCGGCGTCGAGGCCTAGGCCTGGCCCTCAGCCGGCACGGACATCCTCCCTCCGCGCCGCTCTCCGAGACGCCCGAGGGCTGGGGCAGCGGGAGCCAGACTGGATCGCCCCCTCGAGGCCCACGGGGCTCACGCGCCCGCTCCTCACCTCCTTTAGGCATCGCGGCTCTGGCAGCTGCGGCGGCGGCGGCGGCGGCGGCGGCGGCGGCGCCTTACACTGACACCGGAACCGGAAATGTCTCGGGCTCGACTTCTTCCGCCCAGCACTGTACCCTCAGCGCGCCGCCGCCGCCGCCGCCGCCGTCTCCAAGAGAACTGGGCATCTCAGGGAAGCAGCTGCGGGGAGCTGGGCTGTCCCGCGCGCCGCCTGCGTTCAGGCTCGTCCGCGTGCTGCCGGGCAACAGCGCCCCCACGCTCTCCGCTCGGAGAGACGCGTGAGTCGGCTGTCCAACCCTCGGGAAGTGAGAGCAAAAAAGCAGCGGCACGTCTGGTTTTCTTTACAGGCAGGGCTTTGGACACCTAAGATGACGCAATATTTGCGCGAGGTGGGGCGGGGCTCCGCGAGGACCTCATCCTGAAAGGATAACCTGGAAGCGGAAGTGGACGGGAACAGAAGCGACGGCTACTACGCCGCGGGCTGCTGTTGTTTCCCTGTCTTCTGCATCTCTGGGAGAGTGGCTCGGCTACCTGACAGCACTAGAGGTGGGTGTTTTTCTCTGTTCTCGAGTGTCTTGGTAAAGGCGGGCCGGGGATTGGAGGTCTGCGCTGGCCTAGAGGGCGTTCTGGGCGGCTGGACTGGGACGGGTTCGGGCCTCTGGAGATGGGGGTGAGTTACGGAGAGGCTGGGAGATTTGGGAGTTCTCTTGTTTCCATCCTCCCCCCTCTCCCCCCCTACACAAGCTTTTTTTTCTCTGCCAAGAACGTGTTTTGTTTTGTTTTTGTAAAAACCTACTTGTTCTTGTAAGCCCGGTTCAGATGCTGTCTTTGTGAACCTTTCCTCCAACTCTTGTTGTATCGTCTTCCCTCCTTTCTTCCGAAAGTCCTTCCACCTCCCGCCTCTGCCGAGCGCTGCTACTTCTCTTATACCTCCCGGCACCTCTTCTTGGTTTAGTTTATCTCCTACCCGTTACCTGCCTTGAGAGGCCTCCTCTTGACTCCCAGGCTGGGCCAGGGCCCTTGAATTTCCCCGGGTGATTGCAGAGCGGTTCTCCCGGCCGTTGGGCGCCGGGGCAGGAACCAGATGCCACCCTTCTTTAATTTCAAGTGTAGGAGAAACAAGTGCAAAGATCGCGGGTTTGGGAGTCCCGAGCTTCCAATCAGTCATACGCTGTCAGTTCCAGGCTGTGCGACCTTGACTTTAGTAAACCTTGTGGAGTTTAATTCCTGTGTGGTTGTTAGGGGAAATTCCAGAAAGGAAGCTGTGGGGTGTGGAGGGGGCTTTGTAAGCTGTCAAGGACTGGACAGAAGGGAGGGACTGAATGAATTTGGGAGAGGAGAATCTGCTTTGCTTAAAGGTAAGAAGTAGCCCTAACCGGTTTGGCTCAGTGGATAGAGCGTTGGCCTGCGGATTGAAGGGTCCCAGGTTCGATTCCGCTCAAGGGCATGTACCTTGGTTGCAGGCACATCCCCAGTAGGGGGTGTGCAGGAGGCAGCTGATCGATATTTCTCTCTCATTGATGTTTCTAACTCTCTAACCTTCTCCCTTCCTCTCTGTAAAAAAAAAAAAAAAATCAATATAAAATATATTTTTTAAAAAAGGTAAGAGGTAACTTGAATTCTCTTTGCTATCTAGTATATGCTATGAGGTTCGAAAATATTTCTTTACTATTTATTTACATTTGGGCTGGACTATTATATGACCTTTACATGATTTGCCTCTATGTAGTATGTTTGTTTAGTTTAAAAAGAGATGTTGACAAACCAGCTCACCCACTGCCCTCATTTTACAGATGAGACTGAATACCAGAGTGGGAATGTGACCTCCCCAAAGTCGCAGAGTAATTGATAGAGCTAGAAAAGAGAGATCTTTCAGTTACAGTCTTTGGAAGTAGCCTTGAGGTACTTTTATTTTACATGGCCTTTATCCCTTTTTTTTAAAATTATAAAATTAATTATTGTTTTTTTAGAGAGAGAGAGAGACATTGATATGAGAGACTTACATTGTATGTGCCTAGACCAGGGATTGAACTCACAACATAGATAGGTGCCCTGGCCGGGAATCAAGCCCGAGACCTGGTATGCAGGATGTGGCTCCAACCAACTTAGCCACAGAGGCCAGGGCTCCTTTTCCTTTTTAAACACTCATCCTCTCAGCTCCCTCAACCAGTTGTCACACTTTTTGTAATTGCCTTTTTACTTTCTATCTCCTTGCTAGAATGTCACCTTCTCAGGGACCGAGATTGTGTCTTATTCTTTGTTCTATGTTCCCAATATATTGTACAGGGACAGGCTAATAGTTGGTGTCAGTTAATGGTAACAGAAAGAAAAGAAAAAAAACACATTAAAAGCCAGGCATGTTACGTGCAGTTATAGTTCAGTCTTCACAATGACCCCATAAGTTCTATTATCCCCATTTTACAGATTAGATAACAGAGTTAGTGAAGCCAACACACACAGTGGAGGCTGGTGAAGGACCTTTTGGTGATCTGAGGCTCAGAAACTAATTCATTTAATTTTCCCTCCTAGATCTTTGCAAATTATCTTGTGGGGGAAAATGCCTAAAGTCAAGAGAAGCCGGAAGGCTCCCCCAGACGGCTGGGAGTTGATTGAACCAACACTGGATGAATTAGATCAAAAGATGAGAGAAGGTGAGTTGGGGAGTTCCTGTCTGGATCAGCTGCATCCAAGAGACAGGCTTAGATGTCTCTGTGGGCCAGGCTTAAATCAAAGGGAGAGGGTACTACTGTGGCCTCCAGACAGTGATTTGATTTGTTTGCTTACTAAGTCATAAGAGTGAAATAAGTGTCAGAAAGTAAGATAACACTAATGAAAGGGGCCTCAAGAAATTTTTGGGCCAATTTTAATATAAAAGTTTTAGGGAATATAGATCAAATAGTTTACCTATAATTACTATTTTGATTGGATATATATATTTTTAATAAGTTTTTATTGTTCATATTATTACAAATGTTCCTTTTTTTCCCCCCACCATTGCTCTCCTCCACCAGGTTCCCACCCCGCCCTCTGCCCTTTCCCCTCTCCCCATTGTCCTCATCCATAGGTGCACAGTTTATGTTCAGTCTCTTCCCATGCCCCCCCTCCCCCCTTTTCCCCAAGAATCGTCAGTTCACTCCCCTTCCATACCTCTGCTTCTATTATATTCAACAGTTACTATTGTTCATCAGATTTTTCTTTGTTTACTTTCTCTTCTGAAAGAACCCCCTTCAGCAATTCATATAATTCTGGTTTGGTGTTGATGAACTCCTTTAGCTTTTGTTTATTAGTGAAGCTCTTTATCTGACCTTCGATTCTGAGTGATAGCTTTGCTGGGTAGATTATACCACATTAAGAGTAAAAACACTTTACGAGTGCTTAACTAATTTCCCTTGTGATGAAATATTTACAACTTTAACTTTATCGTCACATGTTCTTTGAACTCGAGAAAAAGCAGCATATAACTGACCACGTCCCAAAGCGGGTTCAGGTAGGACTATTCCTGTCTGTCTAGATCGGGGCCAGTGAGATCTTTATATGTATCGCACGTGCGCGAGTCAGCGTTTACGGTACTTTTAAGTTGCCAGTGTGCGTCATATGTACTGGTCGGATGGTTGGTCACTCAGTCTTTTATATATATATATATAGGTTGTATTCCATTGATGGTTTACATTTTATCTGTTTATTAGTTGATGGACACTGGAATTGTTCCTACTTTGTGGCTATTGTGAATAATGCTTCTGTGAACATTCACATAAAAGTTTTTGTGTGCATGTGTGTTTGATTCTCTTCGGTATATACGTACTCAGGAGTAGAATTGCTAAGTCATATGGTAACTCTGTTTATCTTCCTAAGGAACTGCCAGATTGTTTTCCAACCAGGCTGCACTAGTTTACATTCCCAGCAGCAGCATGTGAGGATCCCGATTTCTCCACATCCTCACTACTTTTTGTCTTTTTTTAATTGTTCCTCATTTTTTATTGTAGCTACCCTAGTGGGTATAAAGTAGGATTTCTTCGTTATACCTGCTTATTTAAAAACAAAACACACCACTATATCCTGTGCAGAGTAACCCTGCTTGTCAAAATAAATCAAACACCTTTTTCTCCCCAGCTGAAACAGAACCTCATGAGGGAAAGAGGAAAGTGGAGTCTCTGTGGCCTATCTTCAGGATCCACCACCAGAAAACCCGCTATATTTTTGACCTCTTCTATAAGCGGAAAGCCATAAGCAGAGGTAATTGACTAGATTCTCTCTTAGCCTTTCTAACTTGAGTAGCTTTGAGACTTATTTAAGTAATGGCTCTATTATAGCAACCTCAGCAAGTTTCATGATTTTTCTTACCACTAAAAAATGGGGTGGGGGCAATGTTGGATATTCTATTTAACGAAGAGTAGTGATGGGCCAGGGGTAGGGCAAGCTTTGTATACCATGATTTGATGCCCTTTTCTGATCTTTTTGACAGAACTATATGAATATTGTATTAGAGAAGGCTATGCAGACAAAAACCTGATTGCAAAGTGGAAAAAGCAGGGTTATGAAAACTTATGCTGCCTGCGGTGCATCCAGACACGAGACACCAATTTTGGGACGAATTGCATTTGCCGGGTTCCCAAAAGCAAGCTGGAAGTGGTAATGTCTATCCCTATAATGAGTGACTATTGTATTTGATGTCACTTTCATTTCAGAATTCTGTCCTAGTTGACACCAAGAGCTTATACTTTTGGGGGGCTGGAAATAATTTGGTTGCTGGATGTCCTGCTGGCCATTCCCTCCCACCCCCATCCTCGATTCAGGAAGCCATCTAGGCAGTTTGGCAGTAATTGTATTTGCTTTGTCTGGGGGCAGTCTTAACTCCATCTTGGAGCAAGTTATTGAATTCCTCGCTTACAAAATGGGAGTAATAACACCTGCTTTATGGTGGTTGGGAGGACAGAGTCAGGGAAGGGTGAGCCAGTCAGTAGTACTCACTCTTCAGCTGTTATTTTCCAGGCCTCGGCACTTCAATTACACTATTTCTTCTGTCAGAACTTTTGAATTCCAAACCTCAGAAATAGTGCTGGTATGCAGTAACTGAGCTGAGAGCACAAGCCCCTCTGAAATGGGGCTACAGGAGACAGAGGAGTTACTGGGATGTTGGCCATTATGGCCTTTGAATGCAGCCCCTTAGCTGACAGTTGTGGGTCCAGTTGGGAACTGAATCCAGATTTTTCGCCTTCTGGGTTGGTCTTCCACAGTCACTACAGGGACCTTTACTCTGCAGACCAGTTACAGTTTGTAGTTTCAGCTCTGGGCCAGGGCTTTAGATTAGTAGGCAGCTGTCTCCCTGAGTCGTCTGGAAAGTCAAAGGAACAGCATTCTGAGCAGTGGAAAGTGAACGAGGGCTGCCTCCCCAAGGGAAGGTTCTGGGTGTTAGTTTTCTGGGGGTAGAGCGGCAGGAGTCCCTATCCACCAGATTGCATGTCAGTGTCTGCCCCAGCCTTATGGCCAGAACAGAGCCTGCTTTGGATTTAGTTTGGCTTCACCATCAGATTGTATTTGCTTAGGTAAGGATCTTACTCCAAAAAGAGGGGGGAAAATATAACCACTGCTTTGAGGTCTTCTGTCTACTGGTCAGGCCCCTGGCCTGGGAGAAAAGACTTGTGCTGCTGTACAGAATACCATTCTCTCCCCATGGCCTACTGGAAGGTTCCCCAGCCCAGAGGACCCGAGACCCCTGAACAGTAGGAATCCTACTCTCTCTCCCCCCCCCCTCCCCAGCTTATAGGGTACGTCATGCTCACTTTGCAGATTAACAAGAGTCACACAGATTTTCCCCCAAATGTGTTTAATTAGCTTAAATTAAAAGTACAATGAGTTGTAACTTCAGTGTCAACAGCAGCTGTTTCCATTTTCACGCGGGAACTGAATTTTTGTCATCCAGAACTGTCATAGAGGAGTTTCTGAGGAGTGCCCTATAGCGAGTGACTACATGTGTGGGTGGTGGGGGGTTGGGGTGCGGCATATGGTTGGGTGCAGTGTCTCTCTGTCTTCTGTTGCAGGGCCGGATCATTGAGTGCACACACTGCGGCTGCCGGGGCTGCTCGGGCTGAGGCCCTTGGGCCCTGACCCCTTTGCACCCAGGACTTTGGACTTCTCAGGTTTCTGCCTGTCGTGACACCCCCCCTTTCTGATAGCAGCTCTTCTGGCAGAGCAGTGCCACAGGACCGAGTTGGAGCATGGTCTCTGTGTGTGAAGGCTTTGATGTTCATCAGCTGTGATTTGTAGAAATAAAACTTTTAAACCTTGAGGCCCTGCAATAGTTCTTTACAGAGCCCAGTGGGAGAGCACCAGGGCCACTGGGACTCAATCCTGACCACCTCATGTGACCATGATCAAGTTCACTGGGGAAGACAGCCTCAGGTGAGGATGGCCTGAGATGATGGGCCAAAGTGGCCCAACCCATGCTGGGATCCTGTCAGGCACCCTGGGCCCAGCATTTATCTTTATACAAAATGCTGCAATTCTTACTCTGGCCAGTCCTTGTCCTCATGCTTGAGGCTACACCAGCATGTTCATGTGTCTTTACTACAAAAGGGACTCCTGAAGTTCCCACAAAGCACTGTGAGGCTGTGCACTTTGTGCCAGTTCTGCTGGATAGAGATCCCCTGGGCCTCCTCATCACCTGCCCCCATGGCCTCTGTCCACATCAGCCTCACAGACAGGGGCTTGGTCCCCGCTGGGCTTGGTCCGGAACTTCTGCCATGGGTGGGGGGCTTCCTCTGCGGGCATCATTTTCAGCCACTGCTTATAATAAGCTCGAAAGCCATCAATCTTCTCCAAGTAGGTGTTTTTCCCTTTGTACTGTAATTGAAAAGCATGGATTCGAGGATTCAGAGGAGCCACAATTAGAATCACTGCATCACTACCTACAGCTAATCTCAAACCACAGCAGCTGGCTCAGGCCTCAGGGAAGCTGTGGAAAGGAGAGGGCACAAAAGCTGTTGATAATACCCGAGTATAATGTAGAAAAGCAAAGTTGCTATACCATAAGGCTGACTCAAATCCCCATCTGCTAACAGCCCTTCCTAAATATGTGTTGTTCTATACTCAAGGATGTTACTCCAGCCCCTAGCTAGAATCGCTAGGTCCCACCAACTCTACCTCCACAGTCTGCGCAGCGCTGCTACCTCTGCACAGCCACTGCCCCCTGGTGACTGTCATCAGCACTGCTGCAGTGGCCTCCACAGAGGGGGAGAAATGAGGTGTACCAGGCAGATACCAAAAGAGGGCTGGTGGAGGAATAGACAAACAAAAGTACCAGAGATATACTTAGCACATGATGATAAAAGAGTTGATTGAAAAGATTTAACTATTCTAAACTTGTATGTATCTAATGTAGCCTGAAAGTACATAAAGTAAAACCTTTTCAATCACAAACAGAAATAAGTCCACTCTCATAAGGCAGTATGAATGTATGATTTCAATACAATTAAGCTTTAAGTACTTAGGTCTGGGGACTGCTGACAACCTTAGTGGGCCCTACACCACAGGGTGAAGAGACAACCTACTTACTAGATATGGGCAACATGCAACCAACAAAGCTAGTATCCAGAATATATAAAGAACTCAGAAATCGATGAAACTAAACAACAACAAAAGACTAAACCAACTGTTCAAAAGCACACAGCTTTGTCCTCTTCCTGGCATACTCTTCACTGCTATCACTAATTCTTCCTGAACCTTCAATGGCACTCAAGCATTGCACCTGCACAGCTGTCCTTGACCCCATGCCTCCATGGTGGAGCTTGGTGTGTCCTTGCCAACTTTTCTCCCTACCCATTGGGATGGTGCTTCTCCAGGCTAAATCTGGCACACAGTCTGCCTCAGTAGGCCTAAAATCTGAACCCTCATATTCTGATATCCTCAGAACGGCAGACAGAAATGGCCGTTACAGAACAGAGTCTATCACTGTCCTACTGCCGTCCCCTTTCACTTGACAATAGTCCAACTGGGTACAGGCAGAGGGCAGGCACTAGGGATCCAGGTGAGCAAGGCAGAGACAGTCTCCACCTCTAAGGGCTTATAATTTCATGAAGGTGAGAGTCACACATCTAGTATAAGCTGTGAAACATGGTGAAAAGAAATAGTGCTTTATGTAATGAGAAGGGAGGCAGCTGAGTATCCTCTGAGAAAGAGCCTCTTACACATAATGAGATGGAGCTAGGTATGTGAAAAAGCAGAGGGAGTATATTTAAGGCAGAGAGAATGAAAAGCCTGAGGTAGGAAAAAGGCTAGTGCTACCTAGAAAAGACAAGTACAATTGGACTGGCAGTGAACAAAGGGGAGAGTGGCCTGAGATGAAAACCACGTGGAAGAGGGACTTGCAAGCTGTGGCCTAAGGCAGTGGTCAGCAAACTCATTAGTCAACAGAGCCAAATATCAACAGTACAGCGATTGAAATTTCTTTTGAGAGCCAAATTTTTAAAACTTAAACTTATACCGTTTCCCTGAAAATAAGACATGTCTTATATTAATTTTTTCTCCCAAAGTTGCACTGTTATTTTCAGGGGATGTCTTATCTTTCCATGCACTAGGTCTTATTTTCGGAGGATGTCTTATTTTCGGGGAAACACAGTAGATAGGTGCATTGTTATTAACTTAATTAGGGTACTCCTAAGCTTGGCCTTTAAAGAGCTACATGTGGCTCGCGAGCCACAATTTGCCGACCACTGGCCTAAGGAGTTAGGGATTTTTCCTAAGGGTAGCCACTGACAACTTAAAGCAAGGAAATACCAATCCCAGAAGGCCAGAACCAGGGGTGGGGAGTAGCCCTGGCTAAGGTGACCACGGGCACATTAGAGCTTGGGGCACATACCCGGTCAAAGGTGGGTGGGTACTGGGCTGCAAACTCCAGTTGGCGGATGATGACTTCATTCACTGGGACTCTGTTCTGCCTCATGTCCTTCAGGATGTTGATGAGATAAGTGTAGTCCAGCTTCTTGAGGGCCGCATTGATGAGGGTGCTGTAGATGTGGGTGTTGGGGGTCATCTGGGACTTCTGGGACATCACAGACATACAATCAGCGAGAAGATGGTGATTGTCGGGGGAAAAGCCTGCTGCATATTCAACTTGGTGAGTTACCCTGCCAGTTAAGCCTGCTCTGCAGACTAGTGATCAGGGACAAGAAGGGCAGAACCTTGTAGCACAGGTTCCAAAAGGAAAGCACAGATGCCCCACTCTGTGGCTCCATCCCTTATGGCTAAGTACCTTACCCTCTCAGTCCTGAAGAACGTGGAGAGAGAATATTGCTCTCAGAGATCAATGGACTCAGGCAGTAAACCATGGGCAGGAGGCCACCTCCTCAGTTCTTGGCTGTGGGTTTACTAGATCCTGAGCCCCCACCCAAGAATTCTACATCCCTCTCTCTATCCTCCAAAGTGTTCGGGCCAAGCCCTATCCCCACTCCTCAATCTCACCCCGCTGCCACCGCTTTCAAGATTGTAACATCCCTGCTCTCAATGCCCATTCCTGCAGCAGCTCACCGAAGTCTACTCTCTCCCATATTGGGCCAATGATCATTCTACACTTGAAGCTAGAATGACCCCACTCTCCCTGCCCCCATCCCCACAATTTATTCTATCCAACCAGCTCCCCATAATTCAGCTTTCTATAAGGACACCTTGCAGAGGTTTGGGAGGACCCCATCTTCCCCCCGACCCAGATTTCCTCCTGAGTACCTCCAGTGCTCCTCAGCACCATGGGTCCTGCCCAGGCCTGGGCTCACTCACCTTCATGTCTGCCAGCAACTGCAGACCATCCTGTGGTTTACGGCACCCAATGGCCAAATTGCAGAATGTCTGGACGTTAGGGACAATTCTCCTCTTTGCCAGGACTGGCAGCAGTGCCTACGGGAATAGACATGGCATCACCGTAAGCTGTACCCCACCAACCCGAGCAAAAGCTGTCTGTCGAAGCCCTTGGCTGGATGCTGGAGACAGGAGAGGTAGAGCTTTGCTCCAAGGCCTCAGGCTCCCTCTGCTGGCCACGTTGGGCACTGGCCTCAGCTCATTATTCAAGGGCCCAGGGTCCTGTGTAGCCACCTCCCAAGAATTCAGCTGTTTTTCAAGTCCACCTCGCATTCTAGCTTGCCTGTCTCCAATATGCCGTCCTTCTCCCTGAATGCCCTTCATATTCCTGTCTCTCTCTACTCTTGGCCATCCATCCCTGCACTTGGGCTTCCAATGTCCATGGAGTGCCAGAGGCCTTAGGGGCGCATGGTCCAGGGAGGGAGATGCCAACAACAGCGTGGCAAGTGCTGGCTGACCCAGAGAAGGTCCTGCAGAGGGGCTCTATCATATGTCGCTTCTCTGGAGAAAGGTGCATTCTGCACTGTGAGCCCAATACAGAGGCTGTGTCTTCGTCATCTTTGATGTTCACAGGTGCACAGATAGTACTCTGCAAAAAAAGGCATCACATAGAAACATGCCATATGAACGGAGGGCCCAGTGTCCTCATCAGTGGAGTGGGTGTGGTCAGTAAAGAAACAAATGGATGTGAAGTCTTAGAACAGCATCTGGCACAGAGCAAGAGTGAGTCAGTGAGGTGGGGCGGCTGAAGGGTAGGGATACTCAGGAGCCACCAGCCACCAATCTGTGAGCTCCTTGAAGAGGGCTGAGAAGGTAGCTCGCTCGATTCCCAGCTTTTCACCTGAGCCCATGCCCAGAACAAGGGCTCTGGACAGTCTGCCCACTGACTGGAAATGGATGACACAGCTGGCAGGGAACACAGTCCCACAGCTGGAAGGTCCGAGGAGGGAAGGGGAAGGAGGGCTCCAGAGCAGAGTCCCGTGCCTGCCTCCACACTCACCTTTGCCCCCTCCAGATCACCCAGCTTGCTCTTCTTCCTCATCAGAGTGTTGAAGAATGTCACATCGGCCTCCACCTGGTATGTGTCCAGGACAGTCAGCAGTGAGGATTCTGCGGGGCTCCCAGGATCTACCACCTCGGCCAGAAGCGTGAGGGTCTTGATGTCAGGCCGGAGTCCGTGCTCTGCCATCTTGCCCAGGAAGCCCTCCAGGCCCCCCATCAAAGCCAGCCTGTCTGCCGACGTGGTCACGGTCCCAAAGGAGACCACAGCCGGGGGGACCGGCCCCAGGGTCAGGAGGTTAGTCTCCAGCTCCCGGGGAGGCGGCTCTGAGACCACAGAGGCAAGGGCCACGGTGTGGTCAGGATCCACTTTGGTTTCCATCTCAGGCTGGGCTTTGCTGGGGACTCTGGCCTCCTGAGGCTCTGGAGGCCTCTCAAGTGCCTGAGAAGGTTCCAGGAACAGCTGTCTCTCCAGGGTGTCCACGTGCAGCGTGGCTGGCATGCTGTCAGCCATCCCAGCCTGGGCTTTCCTCCTTGCCTGCCGCCCTCCTGCCCGGGGCTGGAGCAGCACCATCTCTTCCCTGGGTCTCAGGAGCAGCGCGGAGGCTACTGCTGGGTCCCCCAGGCCGCAGTCCCGAGCTGCCCCCAACAGCAGGTTGTAGCCATGCCGGCTTGGCCGGAGCCCCAGGCTCAGCATCTGCCTCCACACCTGCCAGGGAGAGACAGGCCTCAGCTCCAGGCTCCCGCTCAGGGAGAAGGCACTGAGCCAGCAACCAGCTGGCAAACACAAAGGGTGCAGGAAGGACCGAGTATGACTCCACTCCAGGCTCTGGGCAAGAACCTGCGAACTCTATGGGAAACTTCAGGGGAGTATCACTCCTTCCCTCTAGCTCACCCCAAAACTGTTCTGTTTCATCCTTTTGCCCTCTCTCAGGGTCCCCGTACCAGGGAACAGACTTCTCCCTCGGCCTCTGCCCACCTCTGTACTCCCTTGGGGGTGGACGGCTAGAGAGGCTAAGTTATGGAAGAGTCTAGGCTGACTTAAGGATTGGATTCAGCTGCACTCCCTGAGTGCCTACTGTGTGCCTTGCCCCAGGCAGCTTTCTCACACTTGAGAGCATAAGGCAGGTGTGGGTGGTGGAGGACTTAGCGAGGTTGTGGGCCTAGGCAGCCACATTTCCTCTTGAAATGAGCTCATTTTCATCCCCCCAGCACAGGGTCTAGTATGCTGTGTGTTCTCCAAAAAGCTGGGATGTCTGGGTGACTGATACCAAGAGGGCACCACATGGGCTCCAGGCATCACTTGTGCTCAGGAGAAAGCCACACACACTCAGGCAGAAGCTCTGACTTCTGCCCTCACCAGGGACCACTGTGCAGCCCCCAACAGCAGGAGCTGGGCAGGCCCAGATGGGCACATCTATCAAGAAAGTTGCTATCCACCAGGCAGGAGGGCAAGGGTCTTAGGAGGGCAAGGGTCTTGGCAGGCACCTCCTCAGGGAACGATGACAGACTGAGCTGCAGCAGGGACACAGACCCTATCCCATGGTGGCAGGATTCTGACTCTAGAGTCAGACAAACCTCAGTTCCAGTCCCAGTTCCACTGCTTAGTGGTTGAGGGACCTAAGACAAGTTACATAAGGAGCCTCAGTTTCCTTATCTGTAAAACGAGGCTCCTGGTGCCTACCTCAAGCAGTTTAATAAGTGCAAGACACTGAGCATAGCTGTTAGTGTTCCAGACTGTTTCTAACCAGAACAGATCTAGGCCAAGGAGAGGGAAGAACCAGGCCTTGGTTGGTTTTCACTATAAAGCTTGCTGATGGCCAGAGGATGGCCGGTGGACACTCCTTCCAGCGAGTCTGCATGGGGGGGGGGGGGGGGGGCACGTGCGGCAAGCATTTGGTCCAAGGCAGTCTCAGATCACTCGGGCCTGAACTCCGTGTGCACCAATTGCCTGGAGAGCCTGTGAAATGCTGATCTGGATGCAGTGTGTGTGTGTTATGGGGGGGGGGGGGGGGGGAGTGAAAGCGGGGGTCTGTGACCCTGGCAAGTCCCAGATAAGGTTGATGCTGCTGGTCTGAGGGCTACCCTTGAAGTAGGAGGGCTCTAGGTGAGCTGCCAGTCCTTCTCCTCCTGGAGGAGCTAGAACAGCTATGGTACCACTGCTAATACTGCCTACCCAGGTGAGGAGTGGAGTTCCTCCTGGGAATCCAAGGTGAGATTAGAGCAGCATGTCTCAATGTTGTCTGTGAGATCTCCCAGAACTACATGCAACTCCTGGAGTTCCCCTGCAGAGAGGCTGAGGGGTGGCTGTGGGATTTGATTGAGCAAGTACCCCAAGCTGATGAGCTGCAAGGACCATACGCTTGGTAGATGCAGGCCGGCTGCACAGAAGGCAGCCGAGCAGAGTAGGAGACCATGAGCTGGCTGTGCCCTCACTCTCAGCAGCCATGCCACCCCTGCCTCCTAGGGCCTCCTCTCCCTGCCATCTGTACAATGAGGTGGGGCAGGGAGCACTGTGCTCTGGGAAGACCAAAATATGGCAAATATAAAAACACCAGCCCAGGGCAGTAGCAGGAGCTCAAGAAATGCATGAAGGATCAATGTTTGCACCGGACACAGAGGCATGGAGCCGGGGTGGGGTGGGGGTGGGGGGCACGACACAAGAGAGGCAGGAAGGACAGACCTGCAGGGCATATCGGAAGCCTGTCTTCTTGTCCTGGATGCAGCTCACGAGCAAGTAACTGAAGGTCTCCTCTGTGACCGCATGTCCTTTTTGAACAATTTCCTAGGGAGGGGATAGGAGGTCCTGTTGGGAACCTGTGGCAGAGCCCAGACCCGCCCTCTGGGTCTGGCTCAGGACAGACATTCCTGGGGCAGGCCCAAGTCTGCACACTGTGAAGAGGTGGAGCCTGAATCCAGCTGCTGACTCAGAACCAGCTCCTGAGCTGAGCTGTCCAACTGCTGCCTGCACTTCCTCCTCCTCCCTCTCCCAGCTGCTCCTCTCACTTCTGTGCACCCCTCTGCAAAGAACACCCCAGTGGTCACTTTTAGCCCCTGTACTGGAAATTGAATTGCACACCCCATAATTCTGCCTCTCCAGCAGGGCAGGCTTTCTCAAGGTAACCGACCAGGACTGACCAAAGGCTGCTCGGTGCCTGGACAGTTCTTCTGGTCCCCTAACCTGGAACGGGCAGGTGGGACCTTGTTCTGTGTGGGGAGAAAAGCAGTCAAGTCACTCTGGGTAGAAGGTAAGAACAGAGAGAGAAATGCCTGAGGGAAGAGTGTGAGGACTAGGCTGCCAAGGGCAGGCTGAGCCCTGACACCGCCCTGGTTCTCCTGAGGTTTGGTTGTGGTGACCTAGAGCCTTCCCTGCTTCCCATAAGGCTGTTTCAGCGTGAACTCACACCTATCCCACTTCCTTGCAAGCTGAGCAAGCACACCTATCACCCGCAGGGAGGAAGGACATCCCCACCTTGAACACATCAAGGCACATCCTGATGTCTGCACACTTGGCGGTCACCTTCAGCAAGGCGTGATATGTTTTCAAGTTGAGCTGGAAGTTTCGGGCCTGGAGCTGCTGCCGTAGCTTTAGGGCACTCTGCAGAGCGGAGTCCTTCCAGGGGGACTCGGCGCAGACATTGAACAGGGCTGTATAGGTGGCATCGCAGGGCTCCAGGCCCCGCTTTTTCATCTGTGGAGAAGGGGAGAAACTCAGGTAGCTCTAGGATCAGCTGGACACACCGGCGACAGGAACCCAAAGGACACTAGAGGGGACTCCGTTACTGCATTGAACAGGCCTGGGAGCGGGCCTGCGCGAAGGCAGAGCTGAGTGACACATCGGCTTTCCAAACCCAACTCAGCCAGAGGGACTCTGAGAACTGATCCTGCATCCGTTACACCAACGACCCTCCCCGGGGTGCTCATCAGCTCACCCGCAGCCTGAGGTGCTTTAAGCAGGGTCTTCCTGACGCTCTCACCCTCCCGCCAACCAGGTCACCCTGGCTGTTAAGGGGCCTGGGATGGCTCTACTCTGGGAAAGGGTGGGAGGTAGCAATCAAAGCCCCACTGCAATGCTTCCTAACTGAACCGTGTGGGCAGGTTAGGAAAGCTGCTGTCACCCTGAAAAGGTTGGGTAGAAGAGACCCCCAGACCAGCACCGGCCAGACTACAGCACGTTTCAGGGGCCCCACCCCCACTACTCAGAACTGTCAAGACCGTGAAAAACAAGGACCCTCAGAAAACGTCACAGATTGAAGGAGCCAGTATGAGAACCTGGGCTGGATCAGGAACAGAAAGAAGGTCATCAGTGGTGAATGTAAAGTAAAACCATGTTCCAAGAGAATAAAAGCCCTTTTCAAAGGACCAACTTTGAAAACATAAAAAAGGGACCGATTTTGAAAGAAAGGTGCACGTGTGAGCGGGAGTGTTCGCTGGTGGTGGTGGTGGTGAGAGAAAAGGAACACAAACAAACGAGGCAAGGGAAAAAGAAGAGGCCGATGCTGGAGGGCTTCCCACGTGATCTCATGGAATTACCCGAGATCACCTCCATTTACAGACGATGAACCTGAGGCCAAGGTTAAATCATCTGCCCAGAGTCGTGCGCTAGCAGGCGACACATTCAGAATCAGCACCCAGCTTTTTGGTCCCTAAACCCATGCTCTTTAGAGTCCTGCCCCTGCCCCCCGCATACCCGCACTCACATCATTGTAGAGCCGGAAAGCCTTCTTCAGGTAGCCAGCCCGCCCACAGCCCCCAATCAGCACCGTGTAGTTGCACTCAAGGGGCTGGAGTCGCTCCTCCTTCAGCATCTGCCTCTCAAACAGGTCCAGGGCCTCAACCAGCTGGGGGAGGAAGAAGGAAACAATGAAGGGGGTTCAGGGTGGCCTCAGAGACCCTCAGCAGAGAGAGGGAGCTTGAAATTGTGCGAACCTCCCTGAGCCCAAGACCAGACCCGTCCAGGAGCTAAACACCCGCCATGGGCCTCTGCACCAGCCTCTTGGTCCCTGTGCTCTGCAGCACAGGAGCTCTGTGCAGCCAGGAAGGAAAGCCCCCTGGACTCCCACCACCTATGGAAACTCTGCACCCCGCTCCGACAGCCTCCTTAGATGGTGTAGGGCGACAGCCGCGAGTGACCAGCTTCCTCCAATCGCACACTCCCTTGGCCCAACCCCACCCCTAAGCCATTCCCCTTTAAATCCTTGGCTCACTCCTTTACTCCTTATTTTTCCATCCATTATTTCAACCAGTAGTTACTGAGTCCTCTATGCCAGGCAAGATCTATTTGCTGGGGATACAGCTGAGAACCAGAGGGAGCTCCCTCCTGTTCATCTTCTAGTTTGAAAAGACAGACACCAAATGAGATAACCAAATGAGAAAAATATACAGTAGGTCGAGTGGTGACAGGTGCTATGGGCAAAAATGAAACAGTAAGTGCCAGAGGGTGTGGGAGGTTCAGTTTAGATACGATAGCCAAGCAGGGCCTCAGCAGGTGACGGGTAAGCAAAGATCTGAAGGAGGCGAGGGAAGAAGCCCATGTCTATCTGAGGGAACAGCCAGAGCCTGGGAGTTGGGGGGCTCAGCAGGTAAGTGGAGAGATAGAGGGGGGGTGGCGGCAGATCTTGCAGGCTTCATAAGCCGTTGTGAGGACTCTGCTTCTCTTTATTTCTCAACTTTTCATGACAAAAACTTTCAAAAGAACACAAAATGGAGAACAGTGTTAACTACAATGATTAACGTTTGGCCAATCTTATTTCATCTATACTCTGCACTCCCACTATAAACAGAATTTTTAAAAGCAAAGTCTAGACATCCTATCATTGCATTCATAAAATCTTCAATACATACCTGTAAGAGAACTTTATACATAAACAGAATGTCATTATCGATACCTAAGAAAGGAAACATCTTCAGTGTCGGTGAATATATTAGGAGTTTTGGAGGGAGGAGTAACAGAAACTGCTTTCTGCTTCAACAGGACAGAGCTGGCATCCAGGCAGGAGATGGAAAGAGTGGCGGGGAGACCTGGGACAGGTGTCAGGGGGCACAGAGAAGGCTAGGCTTCGGCGTTCAGCAGCAATGTTGTGAGAAGTGTTAGGATTAGCAACCTTTAGAAGTTCGAGCTGGGAGAGAAAGGGAAGCGTTAGAAATGACCTAAAGTCACTTTGCCTGGGCAGATGGAATAATGGGGCTGCCATTTAGTGAGATGAAGAAAGCGTAGGAAAAACAAGGTTGGGAATGAAAATTTCAGGTCAGTGTGGGTAAGCGTAAGGGAGATGCTGAGGAGGTAGCTGGATACACGGATCGGGAGCCCACGAGAAGGCGGGCTGCGGTGAGGAGGGGGCACTGAAAGCAAGGAGGCTGGTGGGTCACCTGGTACAGCGCCCAGGGTGAGTGAAGACCGAGGAGAAGAGAGCCCTGAGCGCCCAAACCTTTGGGACTGAAAAGGGAGGGCAGGCCCTCGCACGAGAAAACAGCTACCAGGGAGGTAAGAGCCAGGAGCAGCAGAATCCAAAGGGGCCCTCACCTTCCCTTCCTTGATCAGGTGTTTGCACTGAAAGAAGTACCAGTAAGGGGTGTTTCTTCGGCCCTGCCACGATTTTGGCTCCGGCTCCCTTTCATCATCTTCTTCGTCTTGCTCCCTGAGCCGCAGGTTATACAACTGGGGCGTCGATTTGCGGAACATTCTCCGGGAGGAGTACTTATCCGAGAGAGTCCCAAAACTCTCTTCCTCCTCTTCCTGCTGGGCGGGCCTGGGGCTGGGCTGGCTGGGGTCAGAGCTGAGGCTGCGTATGTTCTTCTGGCCGCCCGGGCTGAGGGGCAGCGGAGAGAGGGAGCTGCTGAAGGCTGCTGGGACCGGCCCCGTCAGCCTCACGGACTTCAGCCACGCAGGCCCTTCTCTGCCTCCTGCCCACCGGCCTCTGAGAGGGCCAAGGTGTTGCAGGAGGGACAGTCCCGGGGGGCGGGGGCTGGAGAAGAGCCGGGCAAGTCTCATCAGGTCCATCTCTGGCTTTTACCTCCAGGGCCTGGCATAGATCAGAAAAATAATGAAATCAACTCAGGTCCCAAAAAGGCAGAAAGAAGACAGAGAAGTGGTTGATAAAATATTAACATTTTAGATACACTGGGCTAAAGAAATTCTAACATTAATTTCACAGTTTCTTTTCATTTTCTTTAATGTGGTCACTTGAACATTTAAAATTACATATGCGCTCACACTATATTGTTATTGGACAGCGCTAGGCTAGAGGTCCTGCTTTGCATACCTGAAACTCTTTCATAAAAAATATCAAAGCCCTAGCTGGTTTAGCTCAGTGGATAGAGCAACGGCCTGCGGACTCAAGGGTCCCAGGTTCCATTCCAGACAAAGGCATGTGCCTTGGTTGCAGGCACATCCCCAGTGGGGAGTGTGCAGGAGGCGGCTGATCGATGTTTCTCTCTCATCGATGTTTCTAACTCTCTATCCCTCTCCCTTCCTCTCTGTAAAAAAATCAATAAAATATATTTTTTTAAATAAATAAAGATATTTAAAAAAAATAATAATAACCAGCATGAAAAAATGTTAAGGTCTCATTATATCAGATGAGCAATGGAAAGACTTCGGAGGTGGCGGCAGACTGAACAGATTAATACACACGTGTCAAACACAAGGCCCGCGGGCCAAATCCGTCCCGCCAGGCCTTGCAATGTGGCCCGCACCGCGCTGTCATCACTGCACTCCGCTGCGTTTCCATCACAATGACAGTTTATGACTGTTCAGTAAACCATTCGGCCCGCGATTTAGGCTGGATTTTAGATTTTGGCCCCTTCTCTGATTGAGTTCGACACCCCTATACTGAGGCCCCGAAAGGGGAGTGGCTTGCTGGGGGCCTGCAGCAGGGCTGTGGGCCAGACTGGTCAGCTTCCCAATGGGGCTGGTTTTGAGCCCCCAGCTCAACCCTGGCTGCCACACTCACTGCCCCTCTGGCCTGTCCCGGCTGGGACCCCGGCTCCTGGAGGGTCAAATAGGATAACCTCTCTTGACCAGCACCCTAGTGACACTAGGACCTTTATCATTCTGTGTCTGGTGAGGCCTGAAACCCAATAAAAACAAATGTAAACCCATATGTGATTTTACATTTTTCAAGTAGCCACATTAAATAAAGTGTTTACCTGCACGAAATGAGATATATTTTACAAAATGAGATATATTTTACTATATATATATATATATATATGTGTATATATATATATATATATATATATACAATATATATCTCGAAATAGGTATCAAACGTTTTTAAAAACAAGCTTATCTATAGTAGTATATATGCTTCTTTCCAACAATACTAAATAACAAGATCCTGTCATGTCAAAGAGCGACGATGGAAATAACAGCATGTAGGTAGCAGTTGCAGATTCTCTCAGTATCACTGACACTCGTCCCCACTTGGAATCACAACTTAGTTTTGGGCACCGCTAACACTACCCGTCAGCTAGGGGGAAAAAGGCTGCTTCTCGCAGAGACCATAAAAGTGTAATTTTCCTCCTGCCCCAGTTCATTAGCCTGCCAGGCTACTCACTCCTGAGTTAGAGATACAGTACACTGCCTGCCGCTGACCTCCCTCCTTGGACCCGACCCTCCCCCGGGGCCTCAGGCCACCCGGACCCCTCCACACAGGCCCTCAGACCTCCCCCCGCCCTCCGGTTCCTCACCGGACGCCCTCGGCTCAACCCGGCCTGTTCCCGTCCGGATCCCGGGCTCCAGGTGAGGGTCAAATAGGAATTCGCTCCGAGTCCGGCCCAAGGATCCGCTTCCCGCCTGGTCTCTCTCTGCGTCGCGCACCCACTACCTACACCACCCGGTGCCTCCCGCGCCCCGGAGCGCGCCCCGGCCCACCTCCGGCCGGCACAGTCGGTGTCGCGAGCTCCTGACGCGTGCATACAAGTTAGACGGGAGTTCGGCTGGCAGCTAGTCGGGCCTAGCGGGGCGGCCCGTGCTCCGCGTTCGATTGCTCGGGTCTGAGCAGGCGCAGGGCCGGCGCGGGCTTCGAGCGCTCCCGGCATGCCTCGGGCGCCGGCGGCGGCGGTGGCGGTGGCGGCGGCGGCGGCCAGGTTAGGCGAGGCGGAGCGGAGGCGGCCAGTGTGCGCCGGCCGGCGGCGGGTAGAAGTGTGAGTGCGGCGCGGTACTGGAGGCAGCCGGGCCGGTGGGGCCGCCGCCGCCGCCATGCAGGAAATCATCGCCAGCGTGGACCACATCAAGTTCGACTTGGAGATCGCGGTGGAGCAGCAGCTCGGGGCGCAGCCGCTGCCCTTCCCCGGCATGGACAGTGAGCGTGGGGCCGGGGCCGGCGGGCGAGGGGCGCAACCGACTCGGAACTGGGACCCCTTCCCCTCGGTCCTGGGACTCGGACGCCGGAGCCCACCCTCCTCAGATCTTTGATCCCCTGGGGGTAGTTTAAGATAATCTTCAGGAGGGCTAGATCGTATCCGGCTGGTCAAATAATTGTTCAATGAAGACGGGTATCCTTTTTCTTTCTTCTTAATATATTCTTATTGATTTAGAGAGGAAGGGAAAGGGAGAGAGAGAGAGAGAGAGAAACTTCAACGATGAGAGGATCATTGATTGACTGCCTTCTGCAAGCCTCCTGCTGGGGATTGAGAGGTATTGAGCCCACTACCGGGACGTGTGCCCTTGACTGGAGTCGAACCTGGGACCCTTCAGTCTACAGGCTGAGGCTCTATCCACTGAGCCAAACCAGCTAGGGCAAGGCGGGTATCCTTGTTTGAAAATCCTTACCCCACAAATTCCCCAACTACTGGAAAGTACAAACAATCTCCTTCCCCCACCTCCAGCCCCCAGGGCCCCCCCACACACACTGTGCTCTCCCTTTTGCTTTCATCAAAACTGGGCTGTTGGGGGAGTCTGGGAGACCACAGTTAGACTCTCAAGCTCCATTCTTCTCCTAGGACTCACTCCTGGGAGCCTAAACCTCAGTTCTTTTCTGGACTCCAACTCTGGGTCTTTCATCACACCTGGCAGGTGCCTGAGCTCCCTTTTCAGACTTTTTGAAAAGCAAACAAGTAACACCTCCAAGATCCCCAGTGCCACCGCCTTAAGTCCGTCCTAGCAAAATCTGCCTGCAGCCCAGAAGCCAAGGAGTCCCTTGCAACTTACTAATAAGTAGAGGCGCAAAAGTGGCCCTCGGAGATGTTCTCGGTGGGTTTTCAGCAATTCTGAAATGCCTGCTGATACACAAAACTTTGTGAAACCAGGTTTATTCTGGTAGCCATGGCGGGTGAATTACTGGGCCCCTTGGAACAGCTAACCCTGATCCCACTGACTTGCACCACGTGCACTCCACCTGTGTTCACTTGCTCTCTCACCTGCTCCTTTCATAATTGGTTGGCATTGCAAATTAAGAGTAGTCCTGCTTTTTTTTTTTTTTTTTTTTTGTCTTCATTTGTATGCTTTCCCCTCCCTAATAGCCTCTCTCTCTCTCTCTCACTGCTGTTCCGCCTTGGAGTCCCCATTCATGTATGTTTCCTGTGAGTTCACATTAAAGCACTCGGAAATTAGTCCTCTGGAAGGTCTAAGCACCGGGTAATTTCTGTGATCTTGTGCTCCATCCTTCACCCACTCACTCCCAAACCCTCGAAAGCATTTTTATTATAGGAGACTCTCAGCCTGTATAATGACTGGTGTTAACATAGGTGTCTCATTTTGCATGACTGAAATAAGCAGCATTTTTCTTGCTTGTTTGGGCTTTGCTTTTTCTTTTTTTTCTTTTTTGCCAGCCTATTTCCTGGATCATGAACATTTCATAGGTCAAAGGCCAGAAGGTTTTCCTCTCCCTGTCTTCAGATGTCATCAGTAGCAATTGCACCTTGCTTTGTTGACCCTTCTCCTTCCCTCTCCTTTTTGCAGAGTCCGGGGCTGCTGTCTGTGAATTCTTTTTGAAAGCTGCCTGTGGCAAAGGTAAGAGACCCTGGTTCCTTGATGTTCCTCCTCAGGTGCCCTCTACCTTTCTGTCCCCGAGCAGACTTGCCGGCCATCAGGTCTCTAGCTTTCATTGCTTTCTCAAGAATAACAGTGCCCCAGATGAAATTGTGGTTTGGGTAGGCTAGGAACATGATGGGGTATTCTGCCTTAAACCTAAAATATGGCACTGAACCTGACTCTGAATCAGCTTTCTCACCTCTCTTTCCCTGTGGCCACAAGCTGACCTATGACATGAATAGGCTCCTAGCACTGAGACGTTTAGAAACTTTCTCAAGTTTGTATGAAATGCATTTCTTCAGTTCTGTAGTTGATCTTTCTTAGGTATTGGGGCTAAAGATGCAGCCTGTGTGGAGTCTAGGCTTCTGCTGGTAGTCCTCTTTACCGTCTATCTTTTAGGGCTGTGTTTCCCAAACACAGTTACTGAGTGGCTGAGCCCAGTATCTGAGCCCAGGCCTTTGTGATTCTACAGTCTGTACAAGCTCACTGTTCTCCATACCCTCTCATCAAAACAAAAACAAAACAAACAAAAAAACCCCACACCTGACAATAGTCTGTCTCATGGAGTCCTATTCAGACTAACCAGGTTCCATGAGCCAGATTATTCATAAGGAGAAGTATTAGCTGGATATACTATACATAGGTCTGGCCATTTTTTTTTTAAATATATATTTTATTGATTATTGTACAGAGAGGAAGGGAGAGAGAGTTAGAAACATCAATGAGAGAGAGTCATCGATCAGCTGCCTCTTGCACACCCCCTACTGGGGATATGCCCACAACCAAGGTACTGTACATGCCCTTGACCAGAATCGAACCCGGGGCCCTTCAGTCCCCAAGCCGACGCTCTATCCATTGAGCCAAACCGGTCCCGGCCATTTTTGGTTTTTTTAGGCAAATTTATTTGGAAACTAAATTTGATCACAGCTTGAAAGGGAACACAGAATTAGAGCAAGATCGGTTTTAATGACTGATTTTGGCAAATTTTGGTTCTATAACTCAGTCATTTATCATTGAAACAATAGACCTATTGGTAGGTCAACCAGTTTGACCTCCAGCTTTCTGGTTGGAATCATCATCCCTGGGCTCCTGGGTTCATTCCCATGTCCTTGCTCAGTAATTCTGCCTTTCTGACCTGCCACCATCTGTTAGCAAGTTGTCTTCAACATGGGCATTATGACTGTTTCATTGTTAACTAATACCATTGTCACCTGCCACATGTGGCTATTCAAATTTAAATCAATTAAAATTAAATTAAGAATGCAGTTCCTTAATCGTACTAGTCATATTTCAAGTGTTTAATAGCCACATGTGGCTACTGACTGCCATACTGGACAGCATAAATATAGAACTTCCATCATTGCAGAAAGTTCTGTTGGATAGGGCTGGTCCAGAAATTTCCCAGTCACAACCTCATTCTGGTCGGACCTTCCCAGTAGTCTTGCCAGGCCGCTACTTAGAAATAGGACCTTCTCAGGGTATGGCTTTGTCCATCTATAAGAATGATCACTGCAGCCGAAGCCGGTTTGGCTCAGTGGTAGAGCGTCGGTCTGCGGACTGAAGGGTCCCAGGTTCGATCCCGGTCAAGGGCATGTACATTGGTTGTGGGCACATCCCCGGTGGGGGGTGTGCAGGAGGCAGCTGGTCAATGTTTCTCTCTCATCGATGTTTCTGACTCTCTATCCCTTTCTCTTCCTCTCTGTAAAAAATCAATAAAATATATTTATATTAAAAAAAAAAAAAAAAAAAAAAAAGAATGATCACTGCAGACGGCAGACCTCCCCCAGTGTGTATGCAATGTATTCCTTCAGTGTTGTAGCTGATTTTCTGAGTTATTGGAGGCTAAGTAGGTACTTTTAACTAAAGATGGAGCCCACCTGGAGTCCAGGCTTCTACTGGGGATCCTCTTTACCTTCTATCTTTTAGGCTAGAAGATAGTTTAAAATTGTGTTTCCCCAAAACCCGGGCTTTCTTAAACTAACCGTACAATTTTTGTCATGTCCATGTATCACTGGAACTATTCTTTAATTAAATAAAGAAATAAACCCACCCCTCCCCCACACCACTGTTGATCTTGTCAAGCCTCCATCTTACAATACAATCTGTGAAATCATGATGTTTTAGTAAGATTTTATTAAAACACATTAAAATGAAAGACATAACTACTTAAACTTAAAATGTGTGCCCATGTACTGCCTAAAGTCACATTGCCTTCTGCTAGGGGCAGCCACCACCTTCTGGGACATTCTAGTTTTGGGTGCTTCAGGGAAGTGGGGAGAAGGCGTCTTGGCTCCCCAGGTCCGGTGCCCGGGCTCAGGGCTGCTTCTTTCTATCTTCCTCCACAGGGGGCATGTGCCCATTTCGCCACATTAGTGGTGAGAAGACGGTGGTGTGCAAGCACTGGCTACGGGGGCTGTGCAAGAAGGGGGACCAGTGCGAGTTCCTCCATGAGTATGACATGACCAAGATGCCTGAGTGCTACTTCTACTCAAAGTTCGGTAAGATGTGGCCAGGCCACTTCCTCCATCCAGAAACCCCCCAGCATCAGTAACCGAAGCGGGGCTCCACCAACCAGGCCCCAGAGGAGTTAAACAGCTGCTCAGGCACTCGGGGAATCTCTGCCATCCCCGATCTGTCCAGCTTCAGTTGAGAACCTTGGGCATTGCTCTCCAACCCTCAGCTGGCCTGTTAGAAGTTATAGTTATTCTCTGATAATCCTTACATCTGTGTAGTGTTTCTCTGTGTTTTTTTGTTTGCTTATTTTTTGTTAATTCTCACCAGAGGATATTTTTTTCCATTGTTTTTTTCCCCTCCTTCTTCTTCTTTTGTCTAGAGTGGAAAGGAGGAAGAGAGGGAAGGAGAGAGAAATATTGATGTGAGAGAGACCTATCAGTTGGTTGCCTCCATGGCTGGGGATCAAACCTGCAACCCAGGTACATGCCCTTGACCAGGAATCAAACCTGAGACCCTTTGGTGCGTGGGCTGGTGCTCTAACCAGTGAGCACACCAGCCCAGGCAGGGCTTCTGTTTTTTGAGCACTTCCAGGTAATTTGGGAATTTGAGACTAATGAGAGCCTCCCATTGGGTGGGTGAAAGTGCAGCTGGCCAGAGGCCTTGTTTCTGTTCAAGTCTGCCTTCTCCCTTAAATCAGCTTCTTATTGTGTGGCAACTGATTGCCCCCCGAGTTGGTTTCCTTCTCTCTGAGCATGTGATCCCAGGAGAAACTTGTCGGTCCTAGAAGAATAGCAAGTTTGCGGAGCTATATTCTGGTAGCAAAGAGCCCTACTCTTCAGTTTGAAACAGAGATTGACTTGATCCCTGCTTGGAGAACATGTGGCCTAAGTTGTCCTGAGTGAACTGCATGGAGAAGTGGGGACAGCCTGAGGGCAGTGGGGCTGGCACAGGGCTTGGCCAAGCTGTTGTGCTCTCTGGTGAGGTTGACTAGGAAAAATACTTGTTGGGCAGGACAAGGGCTAGCTCTGGCCTCAGGACTGCCGACCCCAGCCCTGTGCGGAGGCCTGGTGGGAGACGGGAAGCCTGCTATACCTGCTGCACGCTTTCAAAGCACTGTTGTCAGAGGAGACGCTAATTATTACAGCAGCCCAACAGGCTTGGCCTGCTGGCTTATTAATTAGAGTTATGGCTTCTCTTTTTTTCTTTTTTCTTTCTTTTTTTTTTTTTTTTTTTTTTTTTGAGAGGCAACACAAACTAAAAAGTCATAGCACAGACAAACAGAAATGGGACTCTGTCTTCCAAGCTTCCCACCCTCCCCTGGAGCCATCACTGAAAGAAAGCAGTGGCTTCTCAATGGGAACCTTCTTTCATCTGACCCCAAAGGCAGGAGCCAGCCCTCAGGGCAGACTTCCAAGGGTGCCTCTGCAGGCTCACCTGCGTCCCCTACTTCTCTGCTGATGGCCATGGGCGGAGCGCCCCCCTCTCCCCCTCCCCCTCCGCCTCTGGGAAGAATCCCTGCCTGCTATTCCCCTGCAGATCCTGACCTGGTATAAGCATACTGTCTGCAGCTCCTGTCACCTGTAGCACAGGTGAGGGTCCCCTGCTAGGCCCTGGAGAGACAGTGATGAAGAAGACAGGCCCCTTCCCTGCCCCATAGGAAAGAGGCAGCTGATATGTCAGTGACACCGAGAATTGTGCACAACAAGCGCTCTGAAGGAAATAAACAGTGATGGAATCACATGAGGAATCTCCTTTAGGTAGAAAGGTCAGGAAGGCCTGACCATAGGAGGTGAGACCTGAGCTGGGATCTGAACACTAAGCAGGGGCCAATCCTGGCAGAAAAGTGTCTCGGAACAGCTGGGGGCCATTGTGGCTGGAGGGGAGGAGGAAACGGGGATGAGCTAGACCATGTAGGGAATTGGTGGGTCTGGGAAGGAGTTTGTTTTTCAGATGGGCATTTTATGTGTAACAGGCTGGAAAGGAATGGCAAGCACGGAGGTGTCTGGACTGTAGCTGCGTGAAAGATGCCAGTGGCAGCTGGGCTGGTTGCTCCTGAGATAGCTCCTCTCATAAAGGCTTCATTGCCTTCTACCACAGGGACCCAACCTGAATTCCAAAATCTTCCTTGCTTTGTCCTAAATAGTAGACTCCTTAGACCTTTCCCTTGTCCCAGCTAGTACATCTGAAAAGCTGATCCAAGTAGAACAGTAATTTCCTGGCCTCAACTGGTATGTTTGCATACCTGGGCACACCACAGTCCCAGGACACTGTCTTTGGTAAGGGATGAAGCCACGAGTTATCTAATGAGAGTGTGTATACCTTGTACCCAGCTCTGTCTGTGTCATTGACCCTGGTGACAGCATGGACACGTGTGCGGGGAGCACCTTACAGGTCAGAAAACCGAGGCCCTGAGGCACTCTATCGAGTCTCAGGGTTCGCCGGGCCAGGACTAGACACCAGAACCACCTGGCACTCTGCCACACACTGGGCCCTGGCCTCGGGAGAAACCAGGGTGGGTCTGGGTCCAGCTCTCCCAGGGCTGGCCCGGATGGACTCATGTGTGTTTCCCTGCAGGGGAGTGCAGCAACAAGGAGTGCCCCTTCCTGCACATCGACCCCGAGTCCAAGATCAAGGACTGCCCTTGGTACGATCGTGGCTTCTGCAAGCACGGTAGGTGTCAGGGTGGCTGGGCCCCCTGCTAAGAGGCCAGTCTTCTCTGCCCACATGACCTTCTACCTGTCCTGCCTACTCCAGCAAAGCATGGTGTTAGACATTTGGGGGCTAGTGAGGCTTTTTCACACTTTCCATTCACTTGAGCCTCTCAAGGCTCCTGTGTGGGCTGCATGCTCTTCTGCATTTTCAATAAGGAAACTAGTATTTGAGGGGTTGTGTGTCCTGCCCACTGTCCCTATGAATAAGCGGCAAAGCCAGTATCTGACAGTGGTCGGGCAGGGCTCTGACTGGCAGTGGGCACGAGAGCATCCCCTAAAGAAGGGGTGATCTGAATACTTGATGCTGCTCCACAGGTCCCCTGTGCAGGCACCGGCACACGCGGAGAGTCATCTGTGTGAATTACCTCGTGGGATTCTGCCCGGAGGGGCCCTCGTGTAAATTCATGCAGTGAGTAGCCAGCTCCTATCCCCCAATTCCCACACTACTCTTGCCTCAGGCCCTGCTGCCCTCTACATCTTTCCTGGGGTCAGTTGGGCGTTGGTCACTGGGTGGTGGTAGCACAGTGCCTGGGCAGGGATAGGAGGTTGGGGAGGGACCCCAGCTGCTTCCTGAGCTCAGAGGTGGCTGACTACACCAGCACTTAACCTTTTTTGGACACAGCCATCAGGGAATCTGATGAAAACTATGGGCCCTGAGTTCCAGAGAAACTCACGCACACATATTTTTAGGGCCCTCAGGTTAAAAACTTGTGCCGTAAAGGAAGGGTACTATGATGTGAGGGCCTCCTATTTGAATTACTGAGCCGGGGTTTCACTTACACGAGTTCATGTAACTCTCACAAGTACGAAAGAGAACGTCCTTTTTCACACATGAGGACACAGGCAGCTCAGCCACAGGCCAGGGTCACATGGTAGGAGGTGGCGCCTGCTCAGAGGCAGGTCTGCAGGCCTCCAAAGCCAGGTTCTTGCCCAGCAAGGCTCAGCACTCCTAGGCCTCAGTGCACCGTCACTTGGGTGGTTGAGGGGATAGGATGGCACTGGAACCACAGGGTAGTCTTCCCGTCCTGGTTGCTGCCACACGGTGAGTAAGTGACTTGGTCCCACTCCCTAGATAAAAGCCCAGGGGTTCCTGTTTGAGGGGCAGGCAGATGTGTCCTCCTGGGCACTTGGGTTGGATCCTGCAGGGAAGGGTGTGCATTGGAAGGTACTCCCATGCTCAAAGCCCCTCATGGAGCAGGCTCATGCCTTCTGATGTTACCAACAGCTGTTCCTTCATTCCTCTGAGCAGCCCTTTCCCCAGGTCTCAGCCAGTGATAAGCAGAGCTGGGTGTGAGCCCAGGCATGTTAGTTCTGTTCTTCCCGCTGTCCTGTGGCTTCAGAGGCAGAGCTGAGAGCCAACATCCACCCTAAGTCCAGTTGGTTCGTTTTCTGTACATGGGTAGAGCCTGGCCACGAAATTCCCTGGGCCAGACTTTGAGAACACCGCCTAACCTAGCTCCTCTTTCATCTCTTCTTCTCTTGTTCTCGTCTCCTCTGGTTGTTGTCACCAGCCCTCGATTTGAACTGCCAATGGGAACCACCGAGCAGCCTCCACTGCCCCAGCAGACGCAGCCTCCGACAAAGGTACCGTGTTCTGGCCCTTCCTCGGCCGTATGGCACTGCTGGCCCTGGCAGTGCCCTTGCAATAGAGAACTCAGTGCCGGCGTCAATGCCTGGTCTGTCAGAGCCCCAGCTGGAGTCCTGGGAGAGGGCTCAGGAGGCAGGACCGGCATCCTGAGTCCCAGCAGAACATTCAGGCGCTGAGCAGTCTGTTATCTGCCTCCAGATGTGGAGGGCTGTCTGCTGGGGCTGAATGCCCTCTTGGCGAGTGCTTTGAGCCCACCTTGGAGCCAGAGTGGAAGGTAGCAAGAGCTCCACATCTCTACCGCTCTTACTTCCGGTTCACACCCTTTCCTTTACAAATGAGAAACTGGCTCTCCCAGAGGGAGGGGCTTGCCTGAGGTGCCCCTGCTGGGCAGGAGCAGATCTGGGAACAAAACCAAGGCTGGCTAGTTCTCCGGCCAGTGCCGTGATCACTCTGTGTGGATTTCCCCAGCCCTGGGGAATGCTGGGAACAGAGAGCTGAAGGACCAGCTGGCACCCATTTTCTAGACAAGGAGTCCTACAACCCAGCAGTTGGCCAATTCCCCTCAAGCAGGAGGAAAGGGGAAATGCCATGGACAAATGGGAATCAGCAGCAGCCCCCTTCTAACGCCCCAGCAAGGGCATCCTGGGTTTGGTTACTGGAGTGGGGGATTGGAAACCCAGAGGAAGGGCTGGCTACTGCACTAGGCAGGGTCTCAACATGCTGAATAAACCCACCCATGGACCTTGAGCCTTACCTCTTACCTGGCTGAACTTTGAACCTGTTGCCAAAGCCCCACCAGGCCTTCCTCACTGCTAGATCTGAGTAGCCAGAAGAAATGTCCGCACTTGCTATACTGACTGCTCCCATCCTCAGGAGATTATGGGGCATCATAGAATTCCTTGTTAGCAAAGAATTAGAATTCTAATTCTCGGGAATTATTGAGTGCTGGTGCAGCCGTGAGAGCCTGGGTCCCTGTGTTTTTGGAGGCTGGAGCCAGAAACCACCTGGTTGGGAGGTAGCCTTGCTATCCAGTCCCACCCCAGGAGTCCCCATCTCCCTTGTTCACGTGACTCCCTAGTGGAGGGCCCTCTCAGCCCCTAGACCGCAGTTCAGCACGTCAGCCTCCAACTGTTTTTCTGTGACTGTTGCTCGCCGTGTAGGCTGCTAAGCATCTGGCTGAACCAAGCGTTCATCCTGACCTGAAGCTAGAACCTCAGAAACAAAAGTAAGGCCTGCTCATGCCCTCGCCCCACCGCCCCAGAGACCTCCTTGTCTCTTTGGTGTTTTGTTTTCTACTTTTATTTTTCGTTTATGTGTGTCTGCATGGTATTTTTCGGGCAGCCGCTCCTGCCATCATCACCAGATGTTTCTATTCTGCCTGCTCTCCTGAGAGGGGCCACCTCAGAAGCCCTCCTTCCTGTTGGTCATGCGGGAGTAGCCCCGCCCTCTTTTTTCTGTCCCCATTGGTAGTTTGCGTGCACGTGTTTTCCGCAGTAAAACCGTGTTGTGTAACTCTTTCAGCAAAGTAACAATCCGCCATTACAAAGGTCGTCCTCCTTGATCCAGTTAACGAGTCAGAACTCTTCTCCCAATCAGCAGAGAGCCCCGCAGGTCATCGGGGTCATGCAGAGTCAAAACAGCAGTGCAGGCAACCGGGGACCCCGCCCGTTGGAGCAGGTCACCTGTTACAAGGTGAGTCTTGGGTTGGGGGGTGGGGAGGGGTCTTCACAGTCAGTGCCTGTTCCCTCACTCTCCAAAGTTAATTTTGAGAAATGAAGCCTTTGTGTTTGCTAATTGTAACAGTAAAAAGTGAGCCATTATGGTGGGCTAAAGGCCATCCCACTTTCTTCTACAACACACCAAGGCCAGGTGAAGGATTAAACACACAGTGAGTTGAGTGTACATTCAAAAAAGGGAGGGAAATCTGTCAGGCTAGGGATAAAGTGGAAGCATAAATCCAGGGACCAGTGAGCCCTAAAGCCTCTGGTTGTCCTCAGATCCTTCGTGGGCACACTGAAGGGAAAGGTTCAAAGCTTTAGGCCCTTCTCACCCCTTACACATACACACAGTAAGACACTCAGGGAAAAGTAAACTTTTCTTTTTTTTTTTAATATATTTTATTGACTTTTTACAGATAGGGAGAGAGGGATAGAGAGTTAGAAACATCGATGAGAGAGAATCATCGACCAGCTGCCTCTTGCACACCCCCTACTGGGGGTGTGCCCGCAACCAAGGTACATGCCCTTGACCGGAATCGAACCTGGGACCTTTCAGTCCACAGACCTACGCTCTACCACTGAGCCAAACCGGTTTTGGCAAGAGTAAACTTTTTACAGCTCCACTAGGAAACATATGCGTTATTCTTGGCTCTTGATGGAAAGGGATGAGGGGAGTCCCTTGAGTTTATAGTCACTGGCAAATCCTTCCATGAGTTTGGGCCTGTATTTATGCCCTTGGTGAGGGCTAAAAAGCTAATTTTCTCATCTAAAACAGCCCAGATGGGCTCCTGGAGCCTGGCTCTTCGATGAATTTATTCTCAACTCAGATCACACAGAATTCCCATAGCTAGAGTTCCGAAGAATGAGTTCACAATTAAAAATCACAAAACATAGAAGGAAACAAGCACCACCAAGTGAATCAGAAACAATGAATAATAGAACTAGACTTACAAAGACTTCAGATTGGGAACTGTTAGAAGAAATACAAAGTTGGTCCATGCTTTTAAAAATAAAAAATTTATTGATGATATAGAAGTATTTAAGATACAAAGTGAGTTTTGTCCCTTCTTCCCACCTTTTCTAAAACGGCCACTTTATTCATTGTATTCTGTTCTCATGCTTTTTGGATTCCAAAATCTCTAAGGGGGACCCCAACTTGGAGAACTGCCCTTCTAAACTTTTATTCACAGAAACACAAGGATGGTATGTATTTTAATATAAATGGGGCTCTAGTATGTATAGAATTCTATACTTTTTTCTTTTTCTTTGCAACATACTGTAGATCTATCAGTGTGTGTAAATCTAATCTTTTTCAGTGACTATATAATCACATTTTATTTTACCAGTTCTCTGTTAGTAGACAGTTAAAGTCATAATTTTTACTGCTAAAAATAGTGCTAAATGTAATACCTAGACATTTGTGAGCTCTTGTCTGATGTCAGTAGCATCCGTACCTGCAATTAGAGGGGCTGAGTCAAAAGGCATATACTTAAGATGTTCATAGAATAGCCAATCCACTGGACACTTCCCACAGCCATCACTCACTGAGCACCTCTGTGCCAGCTCTGCTGAGGAAATAGACTGCTGCTGCTACTCTATCTGGGAGGGGTTTTTGTTCTCGGGAAGGTCAAAGACACTAAAGTTAAAAGTGTACATCGATTCAGGGAAAGCCTCAGATTTCTAAGCCTGAGCCATAACAGGTGAGGAAAGTAGAGGAATGAGGAGGTGATATCTGTCTTGTGCAGAACAGCTTCCAACCAGTCCTCAAGTACATCTTGCCTCCCTGTAGGACTCTTCAGCAGGGCTTCTGTGAAGCAAACTCTCCTAAGTCCTGGAACCTCAGAAAGCTGGGGTGAGGATCTGCCAACCTCTTCTTACCAGGGGCACTTTACAGTTAATATTAAAGATGCCTTGTGGGAATCCTGGACTCCTCAGCTGTGGAGGCTGAAGGACATGCCAAGTGCCATGAATGGGCCCACACAGTCCCTCCCTCTGGTCATCACATCAACCAAAGGACTAACTGGCAGCTCCACAGGCCACTTGTCCACACAGGTCACATGTACAGGTAAAGACTTGAAAACATGAAGACAGCAGGCTTGGGAGTAGAGCAGCCAAGAGTTCTAGGCAGTGGTGACCAATTAGAGCCCCCACTCCAGGAAGTGCCAAGGAAGCAGGGATCGGGAGGGCACTGAATGGGTTAGTGCAGAGTGGGTGCCCCTACCACCTCCAGACCCCCTTGTTTGGTGCTTGAGGATACCATTTGCTTCCCTTCTTAGAATTCTGCTTTTTGAGGAGCAACAAGGTTGAATGAAGTAAAACTAAGGCAGGAACTGGATAATGAGCAGGACAAATCAGGGTCCATGCTAGATTTTTTAGGTGATTTTACCGGATCTATTCAACCAAGTCTAACCATTTTGTCCCATCTCTGCTCCAGTGACCGAAACCTGTCCTCGGGGATAGCTTAGGCAGGTGTGTGAGAAGCAGAAGGGGAAATCTGGGTGTAGCCCACACAGTGTCCACAGCAATGAGTCCCCCCTGCATTGGGGGAGGAGCCTGTAGCTTCTCTCTCCTTGTTCCATCCCGTTGCCAGGCAGCCAATGTGATGGTGCCTCGCAGGTAGGTGGTCAGCCATACGGAGGCGCCGTTCCTGGGCGGCTGGAGCTCTGGTGCTGTGGGCTGCTTCCTGCCACCTTAAGAGCCCTCTGTGGGCAGGTCCCCCGTGCCCAGCTGGCCGAAGGAGCTCACTACTGTGAGCTCGCAGGTCGTCCTTTGGCTGAGGGGTCTCTCCCATTTGACAAGTTTTTGGCTGCAGTTTCTATACCACCTTATTTTCTGTAGCTTTCCCCTTATATTTCAGTGAAACTGTACCACTGAGAATTTCAGAGTCCCTTTTCCCAACTTGGTATTTGATGAGTGCCACCTTAGTTGAAAACTGCATTTGAAAATTATGTGTCTTTGTTTTTTTTTTGTCTTCTTTCCTTCCTGCTGTTCCCAGTGTGGTGAAAAAGGACACTATGCCAACAGATGCACCAAAGGGCACTTGGCCTTTCTCAGTGGACAGTGACAACAGCTGGAGACAGCTCAGGACAGCCCAAAGGGCCCCACTTTGGGCCACTCTGGCCCATCCTTGGGATTGTGCATTTAACTGTTCAATGCCAGTGTTAGTGCAACTCTGGCTGGAGCTGGTAGGCAAGCACACTGGCATTTATCAGTCTGAGGGACATCATCTGTCAGTTTCCCTACCATTTTGCTGTAGTCTCTCTTAAAAAGGGAACATGTGCTCCAGTTCTGTCCCTCAAATCAGCATCATGTGTCTAGGCATCAACATCAGTCTGGGACTTCCCGAACACTGCCCTCTGGAGAGAGGAGGAAGTTTTGGGTAAGAGCTTATGCAAGCAGTTCTGTATGAAAGACGGCCCTTCCCCTTGGGCCTCATTAAACACCAGTTCTTGGTGAACCTAGGGACTGGTGGGTCCTTAAAACAGGCTAGGTCATGCCTGCGTCCTCCATGTCCTGCTGAATTCAGAAACTGTGCCTATCAATGTGATTTGAACGAGGCAGCCCTTCAGGGCAAACTCAAGTGGGCTTGTTGCCTCAGCCTGGTCCTGTTCCAAGTGGTAGTGATCGAGGAGGGGTGCAGGGCTCTCACGTGTGAGGGTCTTTTTCCCCTAGGCTTATTTTCTTGGGGCACATGCTTAACCTTAACAGTGTTTAAGGTATACCTGAAGCTGAGCTACAGGCCGCCCTGTAAAAAGATGACGTGATCCACCTGTGCACCTACCTCCTGCCCCATCAAGCATCTGTACTGTCACTCAGACACCTTTTGGCCTATGGAGACCACCTTAAGCCTGGAAATGTGAAACCATCACCTGGAACTTGCTGGGCAAGGGGACCTATCCAAGTTCAATTATAAGAACACTTTTTATGAGGTTGATTAAAGCTTGTTTTTTAAGTTGTGTCTCATTGCTTCAGACTCCATGCCAAGGAGGGGATCTTGCTATTGGCTGCACTAGCTGTCTGGTACAAAGCTTTGACATTGTTGCCTGCTTATCCCCTTTCAACAAATGACTTCAAAAGTGAAGTGATACTGCCTGTGAAAGGTCTTTTTACTGGTAGGTCTCCATCTCAAATGTTGGATGACATTTACTCAAATTCAGGTCGAGGAGAAAAATGAGCCACAACATCTCACCCCTTATACTCCATGCAGTATATAGGTCCACAAGAAACCCCTTAACAAGAAACCATTCTGGCCTCCACATCGTTTTACTGAGGCCTTTGATGAAGGTAAGGAAAGGTGCTGTATATGGGCTCTCGGGGCCTGTGCTTTCCCTCTGTTAGATCATCCCACTAAGCTTCCATCAGGCACACACCCAGGAGTGATACAGAATGATGGTGGGGAAGGCATTCTTCAGAATACGGGACTTTGCTTTATACTGTAGCAGTTGGGTGACAAAAAAGCCAAAAGTGCTGAAACTGGTTTGGCTCGGTGGATAGTGTGTCAGTCTGCATAAAGGTCCCAGGTTCAATTCCTGTCAAGGGCATGTACATTGGTTGTGGGCACATCCCCAGTAGGGGGTGTGCAGGAGGCAGCTGATCGATGTTTCTCTCTCATTGATGTTTCTGGCTCTCTATTTCTCTCCCTCCCTCTCTGTAAAAAATTTAAAAAAAATTTTTTAAAGCCAAAAGTGCACAGGACATACAAGACAGAGCAGGGAAACACTTGAAAGGGTACTGCTAAATGACCCCCCTAATCAGCTGGGGCAAAATCGCAGTGGTGTGACTGAAATGGTCTGTCTGCATGATTTGATGCCCTGGGCTGACAGCCCCTCTAGGAGTGGGAAGGCAATCTTGTCCTACCTTGTGCAAGGGACCCGAAGTGAGGAGAAATGTCCAAACCAGTGAAGCAGCCCAGTACCAGCCACCTTTTATTAGGTGTTACATTACAATATGAAAGGACTCAGAGGTGCTGGGCAAAGGTCACGGAAGGAATGTGGAGTCCACACTGGGCCCTCTTCAGTGGTACTTGCGTCGTCGCTCATGTTCTGAAGTTAGGAAGACAAAAGTAAATTTCTTAAAAGGTATAGGGAAAGCATTGGGCTAAAATCAAAGCCATCCTGAGAATTCCTTTCAGAAAATAACCTAGAACCTGCCTGTTAGGGTTGCAGTGGAATTGCTGACCTGAAGACATGAAGGCATCTCAGGAGCTCATCTCCCTGGCCAGCCTCTGCCCAGAACACCCACTCAGATAAATAGCCCCAAGAACCTGTCCAGTCCTTTGGAGCTAGCATCACCCCAGATGCCACACTATCAGAAACAGCCACGAAACCCAGTCACCAATGACACTTTCTGGCCTCTCCCATTGGACAAGCTCCTCTTGGGTCTCAGAACCAGGAGTAGCTACACTTCTCCAGAGCACTGCCCAGATTGTACCGCTCAACTTCCCTCTACATGGGCTTAGGCTGGGAAAATTAAGCCAAATTTTCCATCAACCTTTGGCAGAGCCTGCAGTCTCTTATAGAATGCTTCCTAAATATTACCTGAACCCCCGTTTCATCTTATTTTTCAGTGTATTTTCTCTTTGTCCAATTTTCTCACTTAATATCCTAAAAACTATATTCTGACAAGTCCCTTCAATTCTTCAGCTGTCGATAGAATAATGGACTTCCAGATCTGACAGTGAGCCAATGCTACCCTCATGGAAACCCATTGTAGGCAACATAACCAAAGACACTTACTTAGCTCATGATAAGAACGGATGTAGTTGAAAAGCACATACGCTGCCAGCACCATAGAAACCCCAGCAACACCCCCTTTCTTCACATCGATGTACTTGTTGTAATACCTGTAGTAACCTGCAAACAGAAGAAAAGATCATTGCTTTGCTATGATTGCTTCATGCAGTGCAAAATCGAGTCTGGCTTAATTCAGGGATCCAGTCCTGCTCTGGCTCTTTAAGCCATGACCCTACATTCTTGGGTTGATAAAGGGAAAAACTTAAATGCCCCACTCCCATCCCACGAGCCCAGGAGAAACTCCAGGTAGGCCCACCTTAATTCTGCCCCTACCCTATGGCCCAGATCTTATAGATTTGGTTCAGCCCGTCAGCCTTTGATCCTATCTCACCCTCACCGCCAGCCTGGAACACCTTTCCCTAATTCTGACTGAGAATCCAATCCCCAGTAAGGGCCACTCAGGGAATAAGGCTTCGTGCGTTTCTCTTTATTAGGTACTCCATCAGTAAGGGAACAAACCATATCTGCCTTCGTGGGGCTCATGGCCTACTAGATAGAAAAAGAATGAAATGATCATAGAAGGCCACAGTTTAAACAGTGAGGGACACTGAAGGAGCACTGCAGAGAGCTGTGAGCATGAACAGGACAGTCACCTCCATGGGGTCGGGGACTACTGTAACTGTAGGGAAAAGGTAGACTATTCTAATCTGAGGCAAAATTGAGGAAAGATGGCACATAAAAGACAGCCATAGGGAAGTCAGTATTAAAAAAAAAATACAGAGGGAAGCCCCTGAAAAGCTGGAGCCCATGCATAATGTGGGTCTTTAGTCTTGGAACATGACATGGGTTCCACAGGACTAATCTGACTAGCTGTGCACTTTAAAATGCATAAACATGAAGGACAGACCATTTCAAATATTCATCATGGAAGTTTCGCTTGGCAGGAAGATGAGCATTATACTTTAGACCACATGTGTCAAACACAAGGCCCGCGGGCCAAATCCGTCCCGCCAGGCCTTGCAATGTGGCCCGCACCGCGCTGTCATCACTGCACTCCGCTGCGTTTCCATCACAATGACAGTTTATGACTGTTCAGTAAACCATTTGGCCCGCGATTTAGGCTGGATTTTAGATTTTGGCCCCTTCTCTGATTGAGTTCGACACCCCTACTTTAGACTGATGTCCACTATGCTTCACTCATTTTTTTCTTAAAGAAGTCTAATCATGTGAAAATGCTCATAGACATTTCTCTAAGATGAAGGCAATAGAAAATGTTTTCTTGGCTGAAATATCTCAGAGCCAGTCTTTGACATGACCAAACATGAAGTTCAAAAGCTAACAACTTCTCCCTGTCATCTACATCAGCGTTTTTCAACCGCTGTTCCGCGGCACACTATGTTGCCTAGTGTGCCGTAGGTGCAGACAAGACAAGAATTTTATAATTTTTCACTATTTTGTTTACTTAATATTTCATAATAAAGTAATTATAAAATACTTTATTTGTGTTTATTTGATTCCTATTCAAGAGAATTACTTTATATATAGTCAATATAGGCACAGAGTTAAATTTTTTAACATTTTCTAATGGTGGTGTGCCTCGTGATTTTTTTCATGAAACAAGTGTGCCTTTGCCCAAAAAAGGTTGAAAAACACTGATCTACATAACTTACTGGTCTGAGACAAGGCCTTTACCTCCCAAATTAATTCAGGAAAAAGAAATCTGAAGAACCAGAGATTTGCTTTTGTTTACACATATCCAAAAGGCTCTGACCTCTTTGAAATGCTCCAGCAATGCCTTTAGGGGAGAAATCCCGCATCCGTATCCAGGTTGGCAGCTCCCCTAATTTGACGTCCATCAGTCTCTTGTCCTTCAATGGCACTGATTAGGAAAAGCAAAAATACATACTGAAAAATCTCCAAGTAATACAAATAGCATCCTTTTATGTCACTCATTTCAACCATTCAATAAAGAGATAGTTTATAAAATTACTACATAGAGGTTAGACTGGACATAAGTAATATTATGAATAAATACGTTACACCAAATTCACTGTTTTAAGCCAGAGTCCATATAATGGCAGAATTGCATAGTGACAGATTTATTAATAAACAGGATTTTGAATAACAGCTTGCTGGGAATAACTATGTAAAAAGAACGAAGGGCCACGAGGATTAAGTAGTAGTGGACAGAATAACTACTGCAAAACTAATATTTACATATTTTAGCTCATTTAATCTTTGAAACAAGTAGTTGATGCCTTAATTTATAAGGTTGGGGCTGGGGGTGGAGATGGGGGGAGTAACTTAGAAAAGTTGGCCAAAGTCACACAGCATGCAGGCAGTGGAGGCAGGACTCAACCTCAGTTCTGGTCCCCCTACTCCTGAAACCAGTTTGATTTCTACTACAAGTATCCTACCTGAGACCACAGATGTCAAATGATAGTAAAAACCATTCCAAATGATCCAACAGGCCCCAGATTATATTCTAATGGGAGTCTGAAGACTGGACAGGAAGGGTTTCTATAGTTCCATTCTATACTCTCTGTGAGCTTAAAAGTAAAATAGAAAGGGGACTTGGGAGCGGGGGGTGGAACTGTGAGTGTTCAGATGCTCATGAGGGAATGATTTCCCTTCCCCCATGCTCCTCCAGAGGTCAACTTTATTATTTTTTATTTTTACTTTTTTCTGCAAGAGGACAAGGACAGTGGGTTACACCTGCCATCCCAGTGAGGTTACCTACTGCCCCTTCTCTCCCAGTGCTCTGGCTGGGACAATCATTTGCAGAGTTATCATCAGCCCAGTGAGGGAATCCACGTGGGCCCCAACTCCCAACTCATGGACAGGCAAATGCAGTGAGCGAACGAACCTCTTAGCAGCCCACCGGGCCCCAACTGATCAAGCCCCTCCTGATCCTGAAAGTGCTCTGCTTGTCTCAGGGTCCTTATAGTGTGGGTGCTCATGTGTGAGGTGGCTCCGACTGCCCACCCAGGGCAACAGGGAGCTCACAGCAGCATATGGTTCTTAGCTGGGGATTTGCACACCTGCCCAAGGACGGTTGCTAAGAAGCCACCGGCCTAGCCCTGTGAACACATTTTCAGGCAGGAGACCCTGTGCCAGGCAGTCCCACCCACCTCACTCAGCCCCCAGAACAGCTTCATCAAAGTGCTTAGGATCTCGCCTGAGGTCCCCAACTGTAGCCCAGACACAGGTCAGACTGCTG